TCTGCATGAAAAATGCTAGTGGATCAAATAAGGCACATTATCATAATACTGAAACTTGAATGCAGTGTGCGTGTGTACCACATCGGAACTGTCCTTAGCTGTTATGTCTTAGCAAGGAAGGGACTGGGGAAAAATCACTTCCAAATGTAGCAACCTGTCCCCCTCTGCCCTGTCCAGCACTGCTAGTCATCCCCTGGACATTCTCACCAAGAAGGCAGTGCAATAAAAGTGAAACTCCCACATAAGAGTTTCAGCTATCGGACAGTAAAGAAGAATGAATTAATGAGAACTGCTGAGTTCCCATCCAAAGTGGTGGTTATCTTAGATTCACTCCCCTCCCCTGCCAAACAAAAACAAACCAAAAAAAGTGTAGTTCCAATATATGAGCATTACTGCTGCTCTCCTGAATGATTAAGCTGGGAGAAGAAGAAAAGAAAACAGTTATAAATGTTTTAATAAATAAATAAATAAATAAAAAAGTGTGGCAGTCACTTGAGAGGGGAAACTACGTGAATTGGCACTTCAGCTTTCTAACACCAGAAAAAGTGTAATTGGTATTTTAAAAAAAATCTTTCTCATTCTTCATCTTGCTTAATCCAATGCTAGTGGTTGTTAAGTGACAATACAACTATTATCTGATTGACAAATTATGGAGGCTTGTGTTACCTGACATTCACAATGAAGCATTAACAGGCATGGTGCTTACATACCTTTTACAGTAGGCAGGCAGTGCTCCCAGGCAGTGATACCTTGCTCAGTGAGTTTTCCTTTGCAGCTTTTTAAAGTTGTCCCTTCCCTGCTACCTCAGCAATTTAAAAAGGACCATAAATAACAGAAGCAAGGAGTGATGATATGAAAATGTATTATTTCTTTATTTAGTTTTTTTGTGACACTTGTTAACTGATAAGTGTGTGGTACTTATTAGTTTGGTGTGATGCTGTTGGGAATATGCTGATATAGAATATGCTGATGGGATAACTCCTAATTTATTTAAAGGATGTTTCACTATGCTATAGCTCAGAAAAATGAACAGAAACACAGACATTGCAGAATTGGAAGACTTTAATGTCCCAATGGTTAAACAAAAGCCTTCCTCAAAGATTGCTAATAAATAGCTTAGTGTCAGTAAGTAAGCAGAGTAATATTTCCTTGTTTACTGAAGAGACAGAAAAGTGTAATCGTGTTAGGTCAGAGTAGTATTTATTGCTTTCTATGATGTGTATATTTATATTCTGCCCTTTTCCTTTTTGAAAAGATCTCAGTCTAGCTTTTCTTCTTTTCTCTTCCATGTAAAAGGAGCATTGTTCTCATATTTGCACCTTGACACTAAATAAAATTAGAAGTTCCATTGCTTTCAAAGCAAACCAGTTTTGCATTTATAGAAACTTTGGCTTAGTTAGTTTTTAAATTTTCTAAATTTCTAAGGTTATGCTTTTATTGGTTTATTGGCATCTTCATGACCAGTACTGAATATGATGCACATTCTCAGGATGTAGTTAATCTACTCTTCCTGGTTGTAGATAACAGCTTAAACATGGGGAAAATGTTCATCAATGTTTCAGAAAGAAGAGGTAAGCAAAGTATTGTTTCCAGTGACCAATGGGCATTCTATTTACATTGTACAACTCCTGTCAAGGGCCTTTTCACCCGTAATTGATTTCCTACATGGATATCAATTCATTCTGTAAAAATGTGTATGCATACTCTTGAACGGGTACATTCATGTGTCTAGTTTTACCATGTAAGAGACCATGTGTCTATCCTAGGATTCCAGAATGCCTGATGCCTGTTCATCTCACACCTTCACTTAGGCCTATATGAGTCGTTTCTGTATGGTTCTATTCCATGTAGTTACAATCTCCCTGCCTCCCTCCCTCGAGATCGAAAATTTCTTACATGACTGTAAGACTATAGGAAAGGAGATAAAGCATAATTTTGGTGGTAGCAAGGAAGTGTTACAACTTTTACAGCTTCCTGTATTTTGACCAGCTGCAAGTGTACTCTTTTTAGGAAAAGTAGGAAGCAACTTATACAAAGTCAGCACATTGATCTGCTTAGCTCAGAGTTGTCTACTTTGATTGGCAGTGGCTCTCCAGGGTATCATACAGGATTTCTTCCCACTCCTCTCATGACATTCCATGGATAGAATCTGGAACTTGTTGCATGCAAAACATAAGACCATTCTCATGTGATGTGTTCTACTAATATGAATAAAACTGATTTCTGTTGGATGTTAATCATATCTCATCAAAGTAAATGGAAATTTATTTATTTATGTGAAGTTTTTGTATCTCGTCCTTCACAGAGTCTCAGGGGGGCAACAATGTCTCAGTGTCAGTAGTTGCCAATGGAATCAGTTGTCATAGCAAGACAAGATGCTGAGAATTACAGGATTCCTTACTTCTTCACTTCCTCAATATGATTTATTTCACTTTGTCTGTATTTTGAAAATATGGATAGATTATCAGTTGCTGGAAGAAATGGTCTCTTAGCTTTTAAAAGTTCATATTGAATAAATAAATAGTATTGAGTGGCTACCATATAGCTTAACTGGGAAATCCTGTTTATTTTTATATGGAATAAACAGAATTAAATTTCCAAGATGAATTACTGTGCTTTCCTTTAAAGGTCTGAAGGTAAACGGATTGTGAAATTGGCCCTGTTAAGGTAGCTTACTGTATTATAGAGTAATTCCTGATGACAGTAAGTGTTAGATAAATTTTAAGCATGTTTTGTACGTGTTTAATTTTTAAAAATTATGGTGTATATTAATTTGCATACTTCACTCAGTAACTTCCATTGCATATGCACTATGAGTAATAAGTGCTGGAATTAAACAGAGAAAATAAACATGAAATCCTTCCATTTTTAATACAAGTAGAAAATGTCTGCATATGACTGAATAAATGTAACCCTAATTCATGAATAAAACTAATCATAAATTTCACGCTTAATGTCGTTTCCAATATATATTCAAATAAATCAAGATAATAAAAGATTAGAAGATTAATTTCAATCTAATTTATGGAAAGGCCTGCAGTCCTTTACCAAGTGAAATTCCAAGCCCAATTGCAGTTGACAGAGCAGCTTAATAGCTGTGATATTGTTGGTACAAATATAAAGTAAAATTCATAAATTAGTATTAGTATAAATAAATATACATTCTGTTTTTATTGCACATATTTTGAAGACTGAGGTCCCTTACAGCAATGTTATAATAACCAATATATAAAATAGCCATATTAAAAAATGGTGAACTCTTGCTTTAAGATAAATCTTATTATCAAAAACTCAAAATAGATTTCTTTTATATATATATAAATAAACTAGAAAGTCTTAAATCTATCTCTGGTCATTCATTTTCAAAGATGAACATGGATTCAAAGTGATTAGAAAACTTGCTGGTTTAGGAAATTATAACTGTTTTATTTATGAGCTTCAACAAAGTTCTGATTGATAGAAAGACTGAAATCTCTGTTTTTCGGAAATCTGCTAGGTTATAAAATTATATATTTGTGTAAGATTCCTTAGCATCCTCATCTCTCTTTCTTTAGTTTTCTTTTTTCTTTGTATTTTATTTTTTAAGAAAACAATATATATTAAGGTGAATGTGTAAACCCTAGTTGATTTGGGATGTTTGCCAAAAGATAATGAAAAGGACTATGACTCAGGGTGTGTTGCGCATTACACATACATACATGCATAAATTTGAATGGCCTCATATGTTGGAACACAGGAAAATGACCTTATGAAATATCAGAGTTAATACGACTGTACTGGTGGCATGTTTGCACCCAGCCTCCTGGATGATAGAGTTGAAGATCAGCTTTCTGCAAAACTGTCACTCCATGTACTGAAGTCCCCTTGCTCAGCTTCCACTGAGCAGTGCGATATTTGTGATAGCTCCCCGGTTTCTATGTTTAGAACTGCTTCAGCTTTCTCTTTATAGATTTGTTTCTGTCTTGAGTTGCAGACTTGAAAGCTGGCCTTGCATTGTCTTCTTACCTATTCATACCATTAATTTTATCTCAGCCTTCCATTCACACTCCTTTAGAGTTAGATATTGATCTTCTGAGCATGCTATTCATGTGTTATCAGTAAAATTGAAATCTGATTTACATGAAAGGGTGGATTGCATGTGAGTTTAACTGCCAGGATAGAAGCACAATGCAACCTGTGTTGAGGCCAGAACAGTGAGTGATGGTATACAGAACCAGTGTGTGATGGATCCGCTACCTGTGGGAGAACAGCTGGTGGAAAGCAAGGAAAACACAGAGAGAGCCAGGAGCGGGGAGGCAGGGGGAGGACAATGACAAATAGCATCAGCTGAACCAGGATGTTTGGCAAGCCTTTCTTTCTGGGGAAATAAGGGACAAATGGGAGAGAGGAGAGAGGGTTAGTGGTGATGATGACCCACAGTTCTCCCTTGTGTGGGACAGGAAGGCTTTAGTGACTGTGGGGAGTAACAGCTTGTTCTACTCTGTGCATGAGTTTTTAGGCAGACCTTCTAATAAATGCACACAGAGAGGCATGCACTTTCCTTTTTCTTTCCCTTGCACTGGCACATGCACTCACAGACACCATCTGAAAACAGCTACTATGCCAGTTCTTTTTGTCTAGCCCAGAAGTGGCTTCTTAGACTGTCCGTAGCACTCCAGGATCTCAGGTGAGGTCTTTCCCAATCCTTCTAACTAAGAAATCCCAGAGATCCAGTATGGGACCTCCTGGACAGAAAGCATGTTGTCAGCAACAGAACTTTGGCCTTTTTCTATAGCTATGACACATTTGGTGGTATCATCCAAGCACTTGTATGTGTAGTGATAAATCCACATGTTACGCATTATGGTCCATGCGCTGACTTCAGCTGAATTTGTGTGAAGTAGAGATTACATACAGATTTTACTAGTCAGATTATCTCTTCTAGCACATTACTAACATTCAGTTCTCTTTTATTGTTTGACACTGTTTCTTTTCCAGATTGCACAACTTCACACAACCATTTCCAGAAATTTCTTTTGACAATAAGGGAAAGCTGAGACTTTATTAATCACTGTGGAACTTTTCTGATGCATCTTGGAATAAGGATGGCGAGGGATGATAGCATTTATGGAAGCAGAATTCCCTTGGTTCTCTTTTTATGTCAAATTATTGCAGCCTTGGATGTACCTCTTGATCGTAAGTATTAACAATTTAAAGCACGAAATATATTGAATGAATTTAGAATACTGTAGAGGAATTTCCTAATAACAGAAAGCCATGCCAGAAGAAAGAATGACTTTGTGTTGCAAAGAATCACAGTTGTATGTATATATAGTCTCATTCTCACTGTTTCCCTTAGTTATAAAAGCCTATTTCATTGTCAAGTGCAGTTGTGTTCTGATATTCCTGGTATTATTTAAAATATGTGGAACATGTAGAAATGTTAAAAATGAACAGTTCGCTTAGATTTATTGACTTCTGTCCATTCGAATTAATAGACAAGACTATTTTTCTTACCTTTGCCTTATAACAGATAGGTATCGCACAACCTTCTATATGTCTACCTGGTAGTTAGTCCAGCTGAGTTCAGTTGGGCTTCTTCCAGGTACAAGGTCATAGTATTGGTATGCTAATGATCTAAAACAGGTGTGATATGTATCAAAGGAACAAATTAAAGTCTAAAACATTTCAGATATTTTAAAAGGGATATGTAGGAAAAAGCTAAATACTAAGACTGCAATTCAAAGAAATGCTTTCTGTCAGTCCACCCCACCGCCCCCAACCTGGAAAAAAAATCAGAACAGTTCTAAGACTGAGTAGTACCTTATGTGTTCCAGTACAATGGTTGCTGCAAAGAAACTATCAAAGTCAACTCTGGTTTCATGTGCAATGCACACATTGCTTCTTTGTCTAAAACCAATGTTTTTATCTTCTGTTTGCATATATATAAGTAATTGCTTTGTCAAGATCATAAGTGATAAAACAGTAAATAAAAAATGTACTTTTTCCTATAGCAGAAGATAATTCACACATAAATGTACATAACTAGTTTAAGTATAAATATTGCTTAAAGATCTCACATTCATGAGAACTTGATTGTTTGATAATGAAATAGAAGTAATAAATAAATGTTGCTTGTACAGCTTGAAGCTGTAACTTTACATTCAGTCTTCCATTCATACTATCTTGATACCTCTTCAGGACTTTAGTAGCAATACTGTATATTTTAATAGGTCATAGTAACAGGCAGTATTTTTGTGTGAAAAGTCAACAATTGATAAATATTTCACACATTACAGTGTGAGAAGCTACACTGAATCTTGTCATGCTAACAAAATAACTTAAGTGTCCCAGTTATTTCAGTGTAAATAGTTAGAAAAGCTCTTCAGTGTGAGTGAATATTTTCTTAGTAACTTCGCTAAAATTTCACTTTTTCTTCTTACTAACAAATAATTTTCTTTAATTCATGATTACAATTCACCTGCTGAATCTGATGTGGGGGGAAAAAAGCAAAACTCCTTGAAGAATGTAAGTTTTCTGACCACAAACCTAGAACATAAAAATCATGTGTGCCTTAATGAGTGTGGAGTCCAAGTGGCATGTTTTTGTTTATACTGTTGTTTGCTGTTGTTAATGCTATGTACAGATGATTGCCGGAAGGTTCCAATGTCTGTGTAGCCACATAGGTTTTCATACAGCATTTCCCTTTCAGTGATGTCCCATGATTCAAGTCTACCTTGCTCTTAAATTCCAGTTAGAAGTTGCACTGATTGTGCAAGCTTCCATTTAGTCTTTGATGTGGTCTTAGTCCCATCATTCCAGTAGGACAGCCTTCTCCAACTTAGTGTCTTCCAGATGTGCTGGAGTCCAACTCTCATTGTTCCGAGCCAGCTCCAACTGGATTGTTCCAGTGCAGCCAGTTCACCTTCACTGGTCCTGTTGTGCGATGTGCATTTGGGCTTAGGTGCTTCTAGGAACAATCCCAGAAATTAGCTTGTTTCTGAATGGGGAAAGGAAAGGTCCCGTCTGTATGCTGTGCTGACCCACCCCAATCAAGAAACAAGTGTGAAAACCAGACTGTACAAGGTTAGAGAAGACTGAGTTAGGATCAGGACAAGGAGCTGATTTAGGAAAGTGAGCCTAGAGGCATTTTCCTGTCCACAGGGCAAGGCTCATTAAGCTGAGCAGACTGGTCTTTGGGTCTTCATTAAGTTGAGCAGAGTGAGTGCCATGGTAGCAGTGACAGAGATGTTTCTCCTATTCCTCCAGGAAAATAATCATCTGTACATAGATAAGTGTGGTTTGCTCATCTTTTATCCTACTGTTAAGATTTAGAGGCATGCACAACCTGAATGTGCATAATAATAAACCTGTTATCCACTCTCAAGCACCCTTCACACTAACAAGCAACCATTCCTTTTCGGAATACTAATCCTTAGATAGTCTCTTTCCACACCAGATCCAGGTCCCACCTGACTCTCCTTAGTTGTCTTTATTCATCACTTTAGAGGTGCTAGCTGAGGCAGTGGAAGGAAGTATTTTCCTTGTTTATTTGTTCTTTTCCTACTTCCCTTCCCTCTTTACTAGGGTACAGCTTTTTTTTTTGGAAACAAATGATAGCGAAAGTTAATGTTTAAAGCAAGTTGAACTGTTACTTCTTATTGAAAAATAATATGCTATGACCTCATATCACATATCCTCTTTATGCATGTGCCTAGGTGTACACAATTGCTTTTTTTAACCAAGCAGTAGTTCTCTCTCTACTGCTGTACTGAAATTTTTAAAAATGAAAATCTTTAGGTTTTTAGAAGTGACTTTTAGGGCTCCTTTCTTTCAAGCAGCAACAAAGAGGTGAAATTCCCACTGCACACACATAGCTAGTTGTTTAGTTTCCTATGACCTAGATACAGTTCTAACATTTTTAGTATTTTCAGGAAAGTGCATTCTACTTTCTTGTCATCACACACTGGAGGATTTGTCACATGGTGTATATTGTTCTTTTACTAAGACTGCTCCTTCAGGAAAAAGAAGGGCTTAGACAGCCATCTACAGACACTCAGGAAGAGTTCACTTACTAGAAATCTACCACAATTATTTCTACAAGGAGAAAGAGAAAATTTTATCTATACTGGAATTTCTACAGTACTCCACTTGCTTAAACAAATGCTTGATCAATGATATCTTGGCAAGCATTTTGCAATACACAGCATGAAATGATTTGGATGTCATCTCCTGGAAGGCTGCTAGTTCTTCTCACATAAGAAGAATGGATGGACGGACAGTCTTTTATCTGCAGCCAGTGTGGGTCATTTTGCCAAGTTGGGTGGCTTGGAGGGATATGTGTTAGACCTTTGGAACAGACCTGTGAAGGAGCCATTAAGGTACCCTCTTATGCTTTAACCTGTCCCCTCAGCACAAACACAATCTCTTTAAACAGGTGCTTACATGCACATAATGGAGATTTGCTGGACAACAGAAAGTCTAGTTATGATTAAGGAGCCTGCAGACTATTCAGGTTTTTAAAACATACATATTTCTGATGTAATGTGAAAACGTGATGCTCCATTTAACTGTCAAAAGAATGACAAACTCAAGAATTTGCACACAAATCTAATCAAACATTTGGAACATTAAAAACAAGCTGCTTGGCATCAGTTCTTTTGCTTAGATGGTTAAATAGGAGAGAGAATCCAATCTCACACTTGGCAATACAGTGTGTTCTTGGATCAGGAACAATGTGAAAGCTTATTTTGTCTTCCAAAAGAAGTAAACACTATGTAGCCTTTTACACAGGGTAACAATCAATGTATGAAAAGCAAGGCCAGTTGATAGAATCATTGGCTGACCTTCCCTTGTGTCTTAATTCTACACAACATGTAGAACCTTTGAAAATGGCATTAGTCATGCTGGTAAGGCAAATATGTATCAATACTTGTTCTTAAAATCAACTGTGAGAAGATAACATTTGTTGCTAATATGTTAGTGTGAATTGGTATGCAAATAACCTGGTTGTGCTGATGTGAGTAATTCTGGTAGAATTTTTGGTTTCACATGTTCCAGCTGTAGTCCTGTGGGTGCATAACTGTAACATTCTTCATTCATATCAGGGGGACTTATCCCTTTGCTGGTTCATGCAGGATTGCAGAACTTTAGATATTTGTGATTAACAGTACAATTTTTGTGATGTGCTTTTAAGTGGGATGGTGTGAATTGGTGTCCTGCAACAGCAAGGGGGTTGGACTTGATGGCCTTCATGGCCCCTTCCTACTTTACTATTCTATGATTCTATGAAAAAATGATTTACCATTTACAAAGTGATTTTGGGCATTTTGACGATATAATTAAATGCCTCTTTTTCATGTTAATCATCTTTCACCAAAAAGTGCCACAGCCTCCAACGATAACACAGCAATCTCCAAAAGACTATATCATTGATCCAAGGGAACCTATTGTAATACAGTGTGAAGCAAAAGGAAAGCCACCACCTACGTAAGTTCTGGCCTTACCATGTTGGTTTTATAAATGTTCACGGAATCTTTATAGCACAGTTTTCTGCATGTCTACTCAGAAAACTTTACCAAGTTTAGTGAGGCTTAAACCAGAAGTGTGTGTAGAGCTGTAATCTTAATGTACAAATCTATGAAGAATTGTGCATTAGTACAAATCGATATAGAATTGTACAAATTTATTTAGAATTGTGAATTTGCTACAGATTGCTATATCTAGTAATTACAAGAAAGACGGAACTGTAGTTCTTTAAATGGAAGACCATTCAAAGAAGGATATCATAGAAAAAAATTCTCTGTTGCTCTGGAAGTACCTATACAGTGGTACCTCGGTTCACCAACTTAATTCGTTCCATGATTATGGTCATGAACTGAATTGGTCACGAACCAAGTCAAATTTCCCCATAAGGTTCAATGTACATAAGGTTAATTCATTCTGAACCATAACTTTATGTTATACATAAAAAACGGCATATAAAAGTTTTGAATAAATATATGTGTATTTTTTTTATCACAAAAATTTGAGCCACGTCCCTGGGCAGCAGGCCAAGCCACGACCACCTTGCCAAGCCTGGGGCAGATGGGCCAAGACGGAGTGGGGCCGCAGCTCTTATGCATCCACCGCAGCCTTCTCAGGGCAAGCCGCTGCTGCTATCGAGCAGCTGCCATGCTTCTTCTCCCCGTGATGGGGAGAGCCAGGAAGTTCCCCGCTCAGCCGGCTGCAGCTCCATCCCTCACCTCCCTTCACCTCGGCCCATGGAAAGCAGCCCTTACCTCCCTCCTCGCGGCCCTCTCCCGGCCAGGGGAGCTGTCCCATGCCTCCCACTCTTGCTCCCCCTCCTGGAGCTGGGTGAGCGCCTGCAAGGGGACTACCTGCGGCTTGGAAGCAGGACGGTGGCGAGGAGCTGGTAAGGCCTTGACCGAGGCCAGCACTCCCTCATGGCTCCCCCTCGTGTCATGCTCTCTCTTTTGGTGGGCAGCGCGGCATCATCTTGGGCTTCTGCTGCAGCCCAAGCGAGCAGAAGATGGCCGCAATCATGGTCGTCACCCAATGCAGAGTTTGAAAACAGAGGCAAAATTTTGCCAAAATTTCTGTTAAACTGACTTGTTCATGAACGGAAGAGTTCATGAACCGAGGTACCATTATATTGGAATTTTGTTTTATGTTTAGGAGTTTATGTTCCATTTTGAAAGCCTTCCATGTAAAGTGCTTTGTCCACACTATGAAAAATGATTTATGCCTTGTACATCCCTTCTCTGTCTTGGCCTTGGTACATGAAGGGTCAAGATAGTGAAACAGAGGGCAGACTACCTTAATGACTATTTATAGAGTTGAAATTTGAGGGAAATAGGAAAGAAGAATTCTAAAGGACTGGAAATGGATGTGTATTCTGTATGCCTGTATCACTGAGATCCTCTGAAAGACAACTAAGACCCTGTGCTGTGACTAAGGATGTCTTATGAGTCCATGGAAGATTTGAGTTTGAACTGAAGTCTTCTTAGTACTCAGCCTGGCCTCTTAGTCACTATGCACACCAGTTCCTAGCAAAGAACTTGCAGTTTTGTCTCTATATGACACTGTCTATTAAAATGCTGAGCAAACACATTTTAACATGTTCATGATAACAGAATGTTATTGAGACAATGTGTCATTGTTCTTTTTGTTTGAATAGGTGTCCTTTTTCTACCTGTGAATCCCTTTCTAGTTATTACATTTATGTTCTAATTACGTATACTGACTTTGTATGACTCAAAGAAATGTCCCACAAATGAGTAACTTCGTCAATATTTTATATTTATTCAACTGACAGCTTCTCATGGACACGTAATGGAACTCACTTTGACATAGATAAGGATGCACGGGTAAGAATGAAGCCACACTCAGGAACTCTTATAATAAATATCATTAATGAAGAAAATGGAGGAAAGGCAGAATCATATGAAGGAGTTTATCAGTGCACAGCAAGAAATGAGCTTGGAGCAGCAGTTTCCAATAATATTGTCATACGTTCATCAAGTAAGTTGATTATATAGTTTTAATTAAACTTAAAGATCTTACTACTTACCAACATTTTGATTCATTTAATTTTCTTCTTTTCTTAAAAAAGACATCTTTTTTATCATCAAAGCAATCTTGTTAGAAGGTAACAGTATTTGATATTCTAGCTTAGTACTGAAGTGCATGAAAATTGCCTGCTTTCTTCAAACATTTTAGTAAGTTAAGCATGTGAGATTTCCCCTTTTTTTCCCTAGTATGTTTTGAACTGGGTATTGTATGAAGCATTGCTGTTAGCAAAAATTTTGATCCTTGAATTTTATGTATTTGAAACTTACATATTAGGTTTCATATTAGGCTCTACATTTTGATTGCTCTTTAGCTGTAATCTTTTAAAGAGCTGAGGATAAGGTATAACAGCAACTAAATCATTGCACTCTGTTTTTACTAAATATATTCCCATTTGTGCATATATACCTATATGTGCCCTTACCACATTCTCATGGAGATGTCACTGATCCTCAAAATGACCTTTAGACATTGGTCATAGAGCATCTATGGCTGAGAGTTTGCCTGCCCGCCAAATGATCCAAACATGCATACAAGCTTTAGGGACAAGCCACTTGGTTAATTTATTCATTGCAAACAAGAATTATCATGTGGGGAATTTAACCTGGTAGCACAATGTCACTTTAAATATAAACACAATGATGGCAACAAACCTGCAAGTCTTCCTTGAGAACTGCATTCTACATGGGTAAATTAGCTGTGACTCATTAAGGCTGGTTCCTGAACATGAAACAGGCATGTGTGAATACTGATATGCAGGGGAGGGAAGGGCTTGGGATGGGGGCATAAGGGGTGGGGGCATTATATATTGTGGAATTCCTAACAAGCATGAAAGGAGAGGAACAAAGAGGATGATGATGAGAATTAGGATGAAAGAGTTGTGGGGAAACTAAGCTAGCGGGCAGTGGACTGTGTTCCAGCAACACTTAGCATTCACTCACTCTAGTTTACAAGGCTGTGGGTAGAAGTAGGAGCTAAAGCTAGCTTGGGAAAAAGAACTAAGTGTAGGAAGGGCAGAAGGTATAGTGGAAAGTGCAGCAAGCAGGATGCTGAAGTTCGCCTTCCTAGAGGAAGATCAGCTGGGAATTTGGGTGGGTGAATCCTCAGTAGATCCAAACAACCAGGGTTGCTTGTGCTGAGGGCAGGTGGAGTTTGTTTATCAAACTCTGGCTTAGCACCAGTCACAAATATGGCACACCTAACTACTGGAAATGTGTGCACGTGGGTATCCAAAATTCCTCACCCTATTTGTGAGCAGAGACATTAAGGAAGGAGACATTCTCAAGAGCCTTTTAGCAGTACTTCTTCCATTCTTTTCCTAAGGGCTTTTTGCTTGTTTTGTTTGGGAGTGTTTTGGTTCATTTGTCACTGCAGGTGGCAACAGCATCAACTGCGCCAGCAGCCTTGGCCCATTTTGCATCCGCCACAACATCCCATGTCCAGCATCATTCAAAGGCATTGCAAGGGAGAAAGGGAAAGCAGCCATGGCAGAAAATAACAGTGAAGAGAATTTGGAAAAAAATTTGTAAAGTGGCTTTTTATTTCTAGGGGCATGGGGGAAGCAAAGTTGTATCTCAGAACTTACTGAGAAAAATGGAATCTGAAAAGTTTTGAGTCAATGCTAGTTGACATTTTTCAGGGTTTAGCACCTTCTCCAGGGTCCTTCAAATTAATTTTTTAGGGATGATTGTAGATAAGTCTCATCTCTAATGTGGATGCTGATAACACAGTTCATCCCCTGAAAGTCCTGCAGCAGATATCTGTGGGGGTCAGTCCAAGAGAAGAGCTGGACTTGTTGTTGTGCCAGAATCTGACGTCCAATTTTCTGAAATTTACCTCACCCCCATGAAAGAGGCTTCCATTTTCTTGCCTCATTCTAGGAAATTTTGTGATTTGTGTATATTTGGCTTCTTTTCCCCTTGCCCAGCGTAATCACTGTTAACTGATCAAGAGTGCTATATGTTTTTTTTCTTTCTTTCTAGCACACATGTCTTAATTGCTCTGCAGTCTCTCAAACCCTTGAGAATTTATCTGAAATTTCTCCTTCTATGAATTTATTTTCCAATTTATTTTCATTTTTGTTAAAGAATGAGAATTATTTAAATAATGTGGGAATATTTTTGCACTACTTTTGGCACCAAAGAACCACTAGCATGACATTCCAAGTAATGATCTGCAAAAACAGTCAGAGTAGTGGAAATGACAATACTTTCCCTTGGACAAAGGACCTGCTCACTCTTCATGCAAAAGCTATTCCTGATGAGTACTGCTGGTGCACATTGAAGAAATCTGCTTCAAAATATTCTGGATATAAATCAGTCTGTGTGAGAGGCATGATACCTTACTTAATTTTACTCCTTCATTTTACTTTTGGCCAATTTATATCAGTTTTGCACATTTGATTAGAATTCATGTGATGTCCGTTCTGGCCTTGTAGATGTGTCATAGTTACTAAGACTGTGTTTTCCTACCTCTGCAAGGTCAGGGATGAGAAGCACACAGTGTACTGTTCTCTAGCCAATATAGGGGTCACTCTAAAACCAAGCTGCTTCCAGACAGTAGCTGGGCAGGCAGACAAATCACTGAAACAATTAAAATACTTTGAACTGACCTACTTTTCACATTGCACGTACATAAGTACACTGAAATCAGTAGAACAAAAATGTGTAACTGTGCTCAGGATGGTATCTTTAATTTGTCCTTTGGTTGATCTGTAGTTTTGTAAAAGTCTGTTCCTGCAGTGTCTAATTATTACCTATTAGCCTTCCCCCACCCTTATTTTTAATTGCTTTGCTTTCTACAATACCCAGCAGTACATTATCCAAGAATCTCCTATGCATATTTTAGGAAAGTGGAAGAATCCCTTTCTGCCTGTTAAGTAACAGTTGAAAGTAAATCCCCTGAAATAGTTATGCTACAACATACAGTTCCTTCTATTTGCCCTGAGAATGCTGCTACTCCAAAGAGAGCCATGCTGAACTGTTTAAATGTCGTATTGATTTTGTGTTACGAAGCTTTACCCACATTTGTTCTTTATATCCCTGGTTTTTCTCACTCCCCAGGTCACATGACAGTGGGTTTTTTTCTCTCCCTACAGGATCCCCTTTATGGACTAAAGAAAAAATAGTTCAAAAAACGCTAACTGAAGGTCAATATGCAATACTGCCTTGTGGGCCACCCATGGGATTACCGCCACCTGTAATATTTTGGATGGATAACTGTAAGTTTACTTTTAAAATCTATAAACAATTAAAACAGCAGTATAGTGGTTCTGTTTTCCCCTTGCCAGATATGAACAACTTCTATGGCACAATCAAGGTGAAAAGTTGGTGGTTCTGCTACAAGAAAAGCTTTGTATCCGGTTTATGAGCTAGTGCCATCATAATGGAGTGCTTAAATTTTGAAAAACTTAATGACAGGACATAAGTGGGTCTACCACATTTCTGTCTTCCTTCATGATAGGACTTATACTGCTCCTGTTAGAAAGTATACTGCTCATAGCTTTGCATGATACAATTTTCCAGCTCTGCCATCTGTTTTCACCATGTTCTGTCTACATTTCAACCAGTATGACAGTGCAGGTTAGCTCATGTCACCATTACAAATTAAGACATGGTGCTCATCCAAGGGTCACTGTTTTTACATCACCAGTAACATTTTACAGAAATTATCCCTTCCAGATGTCACACATTTTAATTATGCTGTAATTATTTATTACAAATTATTTCATTTCTGTCCCACTCAATAGGGGAAGCTTTCTCTGTTTGTCAAAGGTCTAGTAGTAAAGTAGTAGTGTTGAAACGTATTTTTGTAATCCGCTTATAGAGTCCTTGGGACTAATTTAATTGCGGAATATGTGTCAAATAAATAAATAAATAAATAAATAAATAAACGTAGTATGAAGCTGAAAAATGGGGCTAGAGTGATGCAAATTGACGGACTTTGCAAAGAAGCAGGAAGAGAGCTGAAATGAGACCCTTGGGAACTGTCTCTTGAGCTATAGCTGGGAATATAAACACTGATCCTTTGTCATGTAATGACGCAAGAAACCTGTTTTTAACAAGGGAAAAAGCAATTGCATATTAAACATGAGTCCCATTGGTGGTGGCATTATATGCTTTTCACAATATGGTTTATCTGGTTTCATTTGGAGGCTAAATATATACAATAGCATTTATATAGTGGTATCAAACTGTTTTCTCTCATGCTGCTATACCATATGGAAATTATATACCAGTTCCAGTAATTCCCAGGTTTGAGGTTAAGGCATTATTTAAAGAAATGGTTCTAATCTTTAAGACACCCTCTAATTTGAGTGTGATATTTGAAAGACTTCATACTCCCACACAACCCAGTATAAAACTAGCATTTGTCTACAGTGTTTCTGTGGGTACTGTGAAGCAGATGGCAATATGAGAAGAAGTATTTTCAATGAAGGTGTTTGTTGTTATTTATTGAATTAGATACTTTTTACTTCAAAACCCAAAGCATCTTAAAGCAAGATTCTTAAAACATGCAAAATATAACACGCCCAAATGCAATTTTCAGTAAAATACCAAACCATGATAAAACAGCTTAAACCTCAGAAAAACCATAACCTAAACTACTCATGTATAACAAGGCCATGATATAGCTGCAAATGCCTGAGGAGTAGAAAAAAATCTGGACCTGACGCTGAAAGGAATACAGTGTTATACAGGTAGATCTCAATGGAAGAAGCATTCCACAGGGGTGTGTTGGGGGTGTGAGGACCCATTAAAAGACTTCTTACTTGTGGTTATTCTCTAAAGTTCAAGCCATTCAAGATGTCACTCAACATACATGAATAGATTCATAGCAGAGAAGGTGTTCCATCAAGTACTGTGGCCTTGAATTGTATCATGCTTTATAGGTAAAAATACTTTGAACTGGGCTTAGGAATGTATAGGCAGATAGCATAGAATTATTTATATATTCCATTTTTATACCTCCCCACAGTCAAGGCTCTCTGGGCAGTTAGCAAATGTTAAAAATACACAAATAAAAATTAACATAAAGCAACGAAACCACAGCAGTTGCAACTGAATCAGCACAGATGGATCAGTTGCTTATATACTCGGGTCCTCTGGCATCCACAGTCATTTGGTATATGTTGCAGCTTTTGAATTGTCTTCAGAGGCAGCCCTGCCCAAAGCATGTTGTACCTGCTACTGCAGGGACAAGGCAAACTTATCCATAGCAGGTTGAACACACACACCCATAGCAACTTCCTAGTTACATTTTATGTCTGATTTAAGCATTTCTTAATTTTCCCAAGCTGCTAATAAACTTGCATTTTAGTTTATATGATGTTTGTATAGGATACTTACATACTGCTTTATTGTTTTCCTGGTGACTTTTGAATCTTTCACTTCTGTTTTATTAAATGTATGTTGGTTTTAAAGTATTTATTGTATTTAGAATGATAAATGTTAAACATAAATAAAATACCAATAGAGCATGAGTTTTAAACACAGCAGTATGAGCTGAACTGTTCACAGAATGGTCCACTTCCATTAACTTTTCACAGCTACCATGTTAGGAGAAATAGCCATGGAATGCTTCTGTTCAGAATCCAGTTTGTACAGAGATTTCTCCATGTCAATCTTTTACAGTGGGGGGATTGTTCAGCAAAATAGTGAGTAGCAAAACTTGGTTATTGTGCAGTGATACTATTAATGTTTTCCTTTAATTTCACAGCTTTTCAAAAGCTGCCTCAAAATAATAGAGTTTCCCAGGGTCTAAATGGAGATCTTTATTTTTCTAATGTAATACCAGAAGATACCCGTCAAGATTATATATGTTATGCAAGATTTAACCACACTCAAACTATTCAGCAGAAGCAACCAATTTCATTAAAAGTTGAACCTGGTAGGTATGGTTTGTACAAATTATTATATATCTACATTGCATTTAGAAGAACTATATTTTCATTTTATATCTACATTATATTATGCAGAAATGCATAAGCATTTTCTTTTGAGACTATATCTTAGAATTCATGCACATTACATATATTTATAAATTAGTGAAAATAATTTTCAATTTATTTTCAGTTAATTTTAGAGCTTTAAAATACTGTACCACAATAAAATAAGTACTTTTAAATATTTAAGATACAAATATTCCAGTGACAATCTGCTTTACAGGATTTACAGGACTGCAGTAGCAGTCTAACCATATACTGGTAATGAGATCTTCTATATCTTGCTTGCCCAGATGCTTTTTCATGGAAAATACCAATTATCTTCTTACTATCTCAAGAAAAAAACCAGTGTTTATCATTGTCCTCAATGTTTCAGTCAATAAGTTAATGCAATAAAATATTCCAGTCTTCTGAGCTGATCAACACTGGTGAACACATGGATATAAATAGATAGACTTATAGATGCTACTGCGTGGTTGCATTTTTCATAATATTCTATTTATTTCAGTGGATTCATTGAATGACACTATAGCTGCTAATATGAGTGACTCTGATAGTTATGTTGGTGAGTTTCAGAGATCCACTCTGGCCTTACTCCTTTCATTGTAGTGTTTAGTTAACTAACTTCACTTCATGGCTGCTTAACCTTACTGCCTTTATCTTTCTAATATATACACTCATTAGTAGTGGTAACAATAGAAATACATGCCACAATATGTATTATTAAACACTTGAGTTGATTTAAAATCATTTAGAAGTAACAGCTGAAGTAATGTTGCATGCAAAAAATATATTGACAAATGAACCAACTTGTTGATTTTTATGTTTTCTGTTTCTTTTCCTTATACATTAACTGATAATTTATTATTACTGGGACTAGTTAATCATATACACTCTATCTTAAGTAATAAAAAAGCTGGAAAGCAATTAACAGAAACTCATTCTGCTTAATGTCATGCTGAACGAGCAGTCTAAAAGTTGATTTAATACGTGTGCTAGAAAGAGTACACATTTAGCATGTTTATAAGTATTTGTGTTCTAAGGTGCATTTCAGTTTTATTTATTACTTTTTAAGTTACTTTACAGAGATAGCAATCACTATAAGGCTATAAAACATAACTGCATAACTATTAGTTGTATTTATATTTATTTTTAAAAAGGGATCACATGAATTAATGTTTCATTAAAGTATAGCCAAACCACTTCATACAAACTTTCCAAATGTTAAAAAATGAAATACAGCAGGTTTGCCCAACCTGGTTCTCTCCAGGTGTTTTGAACGACAATTTGTCATCAGCCAGGAAGCATGGCCAAAATTCAGAAATGATGAAAATTGTAATATAGGACAAGCCCAGCATTAGCTTCAAATTGCTCCTGATCGTTTCCTCCATGCCTCCTCCTCCTTGCTCTCATTCCACCACCTGGTCACTACCTGATACCATTGCCCAGATTCAAAGAAGCAGCAGACTGGTGGGCTCATGTCTGTACACTGAACTGCACACATCCACATACAACCACCTATACTTAGTATCAATACAAGGATTCATTGAATTTCTTAGCCCTCTTTTCCCTTAAACATGCCTAAGAAAACTTAGCAACAGAAATATTTAAACAAAATATAAAGTACCAAAAAATTCCATTAAAATAAGAAAACAATAAAATAACCAAAACATCATTGCAGACTGAAACCAGAATCACTGGATTTTGAAATTATTATCACTATTAAAATATGCCATACACAGTCCTTCTGAGGGATGGAGATCTGTGAGCTGGCTTGACTCACAATGTAGTCAGTCAGTGCAGGTCTAGCATACTGGATTCTTCACCCATCCCTACTGAGAGCAGATGCATAGTGCTGTAGGCAGACCAAGGTAATCATTAGGAAGCAGATGCCTACATCTGCTGGCCTCCTGTGCAGCTGAACAATGGCAGGGGCCAATTTCGTGCTACTGGTGGTCTCAGGCTAGAAACTTCACAGATGGAAGTGAGCAGGGCATCCAACTGCTGCTGCTGTTTCTTTTCAGAGTGAGAGGAAATGGGATGACTAAAGGCTTGTGCAGGGCATTGTTAACATGACCCTTACAGAGTACTTAAGTCTGAGGGAGAAGGAAGAGAAGAGAAAGCTGCATGGCTGTCCAGTGCTACTGGGCTAGATTTATGGGTCTTCTAGTCTGATTACAAGAAAATAATTGCTGCAATGTGGTAGTGATGGACCACTAACACTCTGCAGGACTGAACCAATTTACTTGGGTTTTGTTTCTTTCTAAAACAAGACTCCGAAGCAAACACCTTAAATATGTGTCATATATGCACATATGAAAAGATGCAGAGAGAACTGGCTCCTTTAGAAATTTAGGATTGCCCTGTTTGCCTGAAAGGGTGGGCTGCTCAGAATCTGCATGCCTGCAGAGCACACAGAGCTACACTGAAGGCAGTGAGAAGTGTATGTGTACAGAGGGGAAACCAGGAGATCTGGATTGAAAGCAATGCGTTTACAGGTAATGGTGTGCATTTTATGATATATCACCACTATCTGCACAACAGACCAAGAGTGGTTTAACAATCTTTTTTAATTTTCAAGGTAAAATTGTAGATAATGTGAATGTGCGGCAGGGATTGGGGCAGAGGGAGAATATAAGAGACACACCATGAACAAATGGCAGGGCTTCTTAGATATCTCTAAAAGGGTTCTGAACATTGCACCAAACTGCAATCCAAAGATTCTTCAGGGAAAGTCATAGTGGTTAATTGTATAAAGTCTCTACATTTAAAGTTGAGGTATTCCACTTTGCCTGACTATATGTATTTTCAGTCCTATTCAATGCGGGTGGGGTTTTGTATTTCAGCATAAATCGACGTGAACTGATTTCAGAGCAGAAATTGGAATAAAAAGGATAAAAATCATGAGAGAGTAAGGGTGCAGTCCCATGGCTGCAAGACAGAGTCTGTGTGGCTGTTGAAGGAATCAGAATTCCAGCTCTAATGGAATTCTGACTCTAATGTCAGAAATGCACACTGAGGTCACCATTGGGAATCCAGCCTTGGAGCACCCTTGCTCAGTGCTCTCAGTTGCTGTGGAAAGAACCGAGCCAGCTGCAGCTCTGAGCTTGGAAAACTGACTTTGGAAGCAGAGGTCTGTAGGTCTGTAGGGCATTAGAAGACAATGAGGTTCAACTGTGATACCAAACTGTCTTGAAGGCAGCTCAGCCTGTTCTCACATGCTGGAGCAAAATGTTTAGATGGCTGAAATCAGCTAAGTCTCTTGCCAAGATAGGAGAAGAATGAGCTTCCATTCTCTACGTTAGAGTCTCTAAGCTTCTGAGTTTGGAGGGCTATGGGCAGCCATGTTGCCCCCTCTGCTCATCAGCAAAACGCATTTTCAGCAAAATTCATTTATTGATTGTAGTAAATAATAGAAAACAGCTATTCTTAAAAGTGTGCATTTGTTTTATAAATGCATAAACCATACCTCCAATAATGAAGGTTCTGAGAAATGTACGACCCAGTCTCACTACTACAGTGTCAAAGGACAGTAGGAGTGGTTTGAGCAGGTTTTCTATTTAAAAGTAGAATTTGTATGTAAAAAGTAGAATTCAAATGTATCTATTGAATTTATAAAGTTTTTTCCTCAAATTGAACAGTTTTTTTTTTTTTGGTAAAACAAGGAACAACAGCATAGACAAATATGCCACTGTAACAATCTGGATTGTCAGTATACATAAATAAACAGCACAAATGGTCAGTTTCACTGCAGTTTCACAATTGCAGTGTTTGAGGGAGAATAGTTTTAACTTTAATTAATTAATTAATTTCTATACTGTTCTCTGAGCAGTTCACAACATGAAGTTCACAACTCTTTTTTTAAAATATATAAATGTACAGTTTACACACACTAAAATTCATTAAAAGTTGAGAATACAAAATTTAAAACCAAATTAAAAACAAATAACATGAAATCATACTTTAAAAAGACCCAGTTAGACCCTGTCTAATAGCAGTAGGACCCAATAACTTACTTAAATGCCCTGCGGTAGAGGATGGTCTTTACCTGGATCAATGGCACCATGCATGCCTCAGTGGGGAACTCTTTCCATAACTGGGAGGCCATCACTGAAAAGGCTCTTCTTGTTACCACCAAGCAAGCCTTTCTCAGAAGTGGCAATTGGAGAAAGGCCCCAGAATGTGATCGTAGTTCTGGTTAGATAAAGGTCAGGAGAGGTGTTCCATCAGGCATCATGTCTTAAGCCTTGCAGGGTTTTATAGGTCAGAATCAGCCCTTGAATTGGGCTCAGAAGCATATAGGCAGCCATTGCAAGTAGGCTAGAATTGGTGTTTTATCATCAGACCGTCTGATTCCTGTTATTAATCTGGCAGCTGCATTTTGCACAAGCTTCTGAAGAGTCTTCAAGGGCAGCCCCATATAGAGTACATTGCAGTAGTCTAACTTAGAGATTAACAGAGCATATCATTGATAGTGGCCTATCTCTGTCCGGATAGGAAGCTGGTAGATAGCATTCAGTAGAAAGCCACTGCAGCCACCTGGGCCTCAGGTGACAAAGATGGCTCAAGAAGCACCCCCAAGCTATGAAACTGCTTCTTCAAAGGGAGTGCAGTCCTTTGTAGAACAGGTTGAATTCCCTCCATCCAATCAGAAGAACCACCCACCAATAACATCTTAATCTTGTTTGAGTTGAACTTCAGTTTGAACCCTTATCCGGCCCATTGTTGTGGCCAGGCACTGGTTCAGCACATCCACAGCCTCACCTGCTGAAGATGAAAAGGAGAAATTGAGTTGTGTGTCATTAGTATACTGATGGCAATGCAGTCCAACACTCCAGATGACCTCATCCAGCAGTTTCATGTAGATGCTAAATAGCATGGGGACAAGACTGATCCTGAGGAACCCCGTACTAGAAGACCCAAGGGACAGAGCAGTATCCCCCAAGCACCACCTTCTGGAGCTTGCCATCCAAGTAGGAGTGGAACTACTGTAATGCAGTGCCTCCCACTTTCACGACCAGCTCAGACAGTTGTCCCAGAAGGATGCCATGATTGATGGAATCAAAAGCTGCTGAGAGGTCCAGGAGTACCAGAAAACATGCACTCCGACATAGGTCATTATACAGGGTGACCAAGGCTGTATCCTTGTTAAAATCAGGCCTGAACCCCAACTGAAATTGATCCAGGTAATCCATTTTATCCAAAAGTGCCTGAAGCTGGTTGGCCACCACCTGCTCAAGAACCTTGCCCAGAAAAGGGATGTTTGCCACTGCCCAAAAATTGTTCACTTCTTCTGGGTCCAGGGAGGGTTTCTGCAGGAGTGCTCTCACCACCACATGTTTCAGGTGGCCAGGGACCACTAGGTAACTTCTAGTAAAGGAACATTAACCACCTCCCTGGCTTAGCCAGTGATTGTGCCCCTACTGGCTTTTATTAGCCAAGAGGAGCAAGGATCCAGTAGGGATACGGTTGCAATGAACCAATCCAAGCACCTTGTCAACATCCTCAAGAAATTCTAACTGGAAATAATTCAAAATAGCTAAACTAGACTGTGCTCTAGATATTTTACCTGATACCATTACTAGGTTTGGAATTATATTTTAATTATTAATACTTCTAAACACTTTTTTCTTTTATTTTAGCCAGGTTATATCCAGAAAGACGCCCAAGTCTTCTAACACCCTCTGGCAGCACAAGTAGTAAAACAGAATTAAGAGGAAACACCCTTATGTTGGAGTGCATTGCAGAAGGATTGTGAGTTGTTTCACTTAAGTCATTTATGTGTTAATTAGATGTATATATCCATGCACTAGGTGTTTGTTAAAGTGTTATGTTAAGAATGAGAAGGCTGAATAGTTTGGTGTAGTACATATACTGGAAAAAAACCTTTAAAAAATCCTTATTCTTTCTTTTTTTCTTGTTTATGAAAACCATTTCATTGGTGGTAATTTACTTATTCAATCAAAATACTAATTTCTCCCTTATGTCTGGAGAATGTGTAAGGATTAGCTCTTCCTTCTAATCCATCCATTGTCTAAAGTGTACCTTCATAAAGCAGGCTTTCAAGAAGCATCTAGGGTTTTATACCTCATCTATTCCTCTTCCCCACCAATAAAATGGTCATTCCAAAAACTCTAGAAAGGTGGAGAGGCTTGCCATTCAAGATTCCAACAGCTGGGACACAGCGCTTTGGCATGGACTCAAGAAATTTATGTAGCTTGCTTGTGTATTGAGGAAACTACCATTGTCTTCCTGTGATCACGCCCTTTCTGGCATTACTTTTCTGTCTTGACCTTGGAAGACACTAAAATTGCAGCATATGTGGACATCTGCTCTGGGAAGAGGACTTTATGGTCTTCTTCTGAAGCAGAAATGGATAGGATTCCAGGGCATTAATATTTATTTCTGAAAACCAGTTTTTTACAGAGGAGATTGTTTATATTAAATGTATTGCTTATATATATACTGTCATTCCTTTGTCATCCTTCAAGAATGAGTTAATCCTGTAAATAAGATTGCTAAATGGCTCTTTTCTGTTTCTGTTTTGCATATTAACAATTTTTTTTCCCTAAGAGTTATTTTTGGCATTATTATTTTTGTCAAATTGACAGAATTGTGTTAGCCAATAGGAACCTAAAGCGTATCATGAAATTTGGGAAGCAGTTCTAATTTACCCTTAAATAACTGGCTTCTTTTTCAAAATAGCACTTATTTCTCTACTGAAATGCTTGAAGGTGCTTTGCCAACTTTGAAGATGACAGAGGGTTTCCCTCATGAGTGCTGTACAGACTTCAAGAACAGCTTGCCTCCAATTCCAAACATAATAATCTGAAAACAAAATATGTGGGTTGGTTAATCTCTTGCTGTAGACAGATCATCGGGTCCCTTCTGGTCTGGCTGGCCATGGTTTGTTTCCCCCTTTGTCCTTCTACCCACTCCAGGCATTTAGGTACAACTTCATGATTCTGAACTCTAATGTGATTCTCCCTTTCCACACCCTTTCTTGTCTTGTGATGCACCTGCCTTGACATATACCATATTTTTGCTACCAGAGAATTTACATTTTAGGAAGAGGTTGCTGAAGGTTTTATTTATTTCTGCCACTGTTCTTTTTTTTGTGCAATAAATAATGCTAAGTACAGATACTTTGCATATGAGAATTTTTCCTGAGTACAAAATACAATATACAGTGGTACCTCGGCTCACGAACGCTTTGGTTCACGACCAAATTGGGTCTCAAACAAAAATTTCATAAAATTTTTAACTTCGCATTGGGTGGCGACCATGATCACGGCTGTCTCCCCACCGCCTCCCCCCAAGTCGGGAGATGGCTGTGATTGTGCTGGGGGTGGGGGAGGATGGCCAAGATCACACCTGTCTTTCCTGCACGAGCGCACCCATGATTGTTCCCCTCTTTCCTGCAGGAGCACAACCGTGATCTTGGCCATCTCTCCCCCCGCCCAGCATGATCACGCATGTCTCTCCCTCTCAGCACTCCCACGTTCGCACTCTTTTCTCTCCCCCACCCCACAGTACATCAGAATGACAGGCGTGTGCAGAGATGACATGGTCTTGGTGGCGGTGGGGGCATGGCCGTGCTCATGCTGGAGGTTGGCAGGGAGATGGCCGTGATCTTTATTGTTCTTTGTCACTTTGCTTCACATTTTTCAGATGAAAAAAAATAGTTACAGAACAGATTAACCATATTTACATTGAACCTTATGGGGAAATTTAACTTGGCTCACGACCAGTTAGGGTCACGACTAGAGTCCTGGAATGGATTAAATTCATGAGCCAAGGTACCACTGTATATGAGTTCATTATTGTCAGCTCTGAAAAAAGGGGAAGGGGAAATCTATGTTGTCTTGAGTTACAGAAGCTATTCTTTTACATAGTTAAAGTGTTTACTGTGGCAAAAAATCTAAATTAATTGCTTGGTAGTTAGTTGCAATTTCTCTTAATACACAGTAAGTTAATTCTCATTTATCTATGAGTAAATTGCCAAAAAAGAGCACACTCCTGTAAGACAGAAAATAAGTTCTGTGACTCTCAGCCAGCTAGGATCCTCAGTGCTGGAATGAAGTGTTTATTAGGAATATATGTTATTATTTCAGAAACATACAAATACACATATACATTATTACTTTATACTGCTTCACTTCTGTTCTTCAAGCCCCCTTTGTCCTTGTATTCATAGAGAAAGACAAGGTCTGGATTTAAAATAAACCTTCTTGTAAATGTTCTTAGACTTTCTCTTGTCATTTATACTTTAGAAATTGTAAGTACAGCTGAGATACACATTTGTTTTAGAATGGAAATTGGCAGAACTGCCGGAGCTACTCTTTTGAGCCAGACTGTTTCATCAAAGCTTGATGGCCCTCAGGCTGATTAGATGTTCAGCCTCTTCAGGTGACCTAATTCTCTCTGGATCTTACTGTGTAATTAAAAAATATATATTGCTGAATGGCAGACAGTTTCTTGCCTGAATATATATGTCATGTGTCCCTATAAAAGCAAGGATCCAGAGTTGCCCTTTTGCAAACAAAAGGGCTATTTCTATGCATACAAGAGCTTTTATACAGTGGAGACTCCTAACAGAGCCTGTTTTCACCAATTTCCTTTTCTTTTTGCAGCCTTCCTTGTTACTTCCTATGCTGTTCCATAGAGTTCCTGTGGAGGAGATGTTGCAGGGTGTAAACAGCTGCAGGGCTGTGGAGAACTAGTAAAAATTCCCTGCCCTGTTTTCTGTAGGATTGGGCCATGAATGGAGTTCTGTTCATGGAGCTGTTTGGATTCAACCCAGTGGTTTCTATTCTCAGTTTATTATAACAGTAAAAATCGCACCACTTCACAGAATAACAGCATTTTAGTGGGGCATAATATCGTCTTCCAGCTGTATTTTGTAAGGTATCACATGATCTTGGTAATGGAGCTTGCACAATTATGTTTATTGCATGAGTATTCTGCTGGCAGCCTTGTTTTGAGACCTAGCGTAAATGCCCACCTGTGTGTTAAGAGTAAGAGGTAGGACCAACACTGAGTGAAATTATAATTTCTTCAATTTATTCATTCCCTATATTTGTTTCTTGCACCAATTCTTCTAATCTCAACTGCCATTGGTGGTTTTTTATTTTTCCTGCTAGACCTACACCAGTTATCCGTTGGATTAAAGAAGGTGGTGAGCTTCCTGCCAACAGGACTTTCTTTGAAAATTTTCATAAAACGCTCAAAATCATAGATATTTCTGAAGCTGATTCTGGAAAATATAAATGTATGGCAACAAATCCTTTGGGTTCTGCTCACCATGTTATTATGGTAATTGTCAAAGGTAAAGCTAATGTAATCTTGTATAGGTGTGTACGTGTATCCCATAAGGAAAATAATGGTTCAGAGGGTGGGATCACTTGACTGTACTATGACAAAGTTGATCTAAGCAGAATTTTGAAACTGTTCTAAATTCCAAATAATCCTGTTTTCCAGTGAAAAATATAGTTTTGGATAGTGGCTGTACATTGCTCTGTACGTGCAGAGTCCTTGCATGCTTTGTGCTAGTTATTGATATTGTTGCACAGTGTGCTGAAGGCCTCCATGTCTTGCACAACCTAAGGTTCCTTAGAAATCTGCTAGCTAAATTGGTAAATCCTAAACCCAATCCGCAGGAATTCTTATGAAGCAGAAGCCCAAATCTGATTTTATTTTCAAGATAGACTTCAGAGTTTTGTAAACAGTTTTGCCCTTCAGGCAAAGATTTAACTGGTTAGTTTGAATCAATCTAAAATTTAGTCTTGATTTTTGGCTTTTTGACCCACATTGCTCCTTGCAGATTCTGTGCTGATGTTAGAAGTCATGGCAGAAATTTCTTTCCCTAATTTCTTTCTTCTTGTCTGTATTGTACTTCCTCCTGCCTGGGCTTCAACCCTTCCTTGCCATCCTACTTTATTTCTGTATATGGGATTCTGTGGGAGGTTTTATCCCACTTTTGTTTGCTTCTTGGCTCTTCTCTCAACAATGCAACCTCCAGGAATGGTTACTTTGCATTTCCTTCTTTTTGGCTGGCTACTTCATTGTTTTCCTTTGGACACTGTCTTTCTTGGTTGATCTTCCTTTCTCTTCTGTGTCCTTCTCTTCTGTGTCATTCTACAGCCCTGTCAGACTTTAGGCATTGTGATGTTTCTTCAGAGACTCTATCTCATTACTTTTTGTTTCCAACTCTTTTCCTCAAGCTTTAATTCTTCTTCATTTACCCTTTTCTCAGGTGGATGTTTGTAAGTACATTGTCTGTTCTACATCCTTCCTGCAACCACCTTGCTTTTGATCTCACTGTCCTCTTTTCTTCTTCCTATGATTTCAGTCCAATCCACAATAGTGTATATGAAAGTCCTTCTATGCTTTGTGTCTGTGCAAGTTTTAATAATTACAGTCAAACAAACAATTTTAACTTCTCTCTGAGGAATTTCATTGCAAACATTCTTTGTTCCCTAGATGATTGGAATTCTGCCATCATAGTAATTCATGTCAGTCTATCTAAGATTGTATATACCTTCACAAGGACAATAAAATTGATACTAACAGTTGTATTCTTCTGTTTATTTAAATGCAGCTGCACCTTACTGGATAAGAGAACCAACAAACCTTGTATTATCTCCTGGAGAAGATGGTTCTTTGATATGCAGAGCTAATGGCAAACCCAAACCCAGCATAAGCTGGTTGTCGAATGGCGTTCCCATTGACAGTAAGGACCATTTTACTTTATCCAAAATAATATGGTGTAAGATCCAAGTTCAAATCCCTTTCCTAAAAAAGATGAAAACTGCGAGGCATTTCAGGATAAGGGCTTGAATAACCTGCCAAGTAGCCAAAGGCCTAGGAGAAAAGGAGAAGAATAAGGGAAAAAGAAAGAAAATCACTCAGTGGGGAGTTGCAGTTTTTTCACCTTGATGAAGTCGGCTGCCACTCACTTCCTTCTAAAGATTGCATCCCTTTTTCTACCAAGTTGCTAAGCAACTACTTGAGCCAGGGACTCAAGAGACTTCAAGTTTTTGTCAGACAGAGAGAGAGCCGCAATCTTCAATGGAGGAAAGGGGTAAAAAATACCTACATTTCTAAGCCCTAACAGAGCAGAGGCAACCTATGAAAGAGGGTTTATTTACACAAATTATGAATTATATTTTCACCTTGCCAAGGAGCAAGGTATTGCGTGTGTTGCAGGGGGCAGTTAAATTCAATGTTTTATTTTTCTTTTGAGATGCAGCTAGACCAGTTAGACATTATTTACTGGAATGATAGTTTATGAAGGTATTATCTAGCCAAAGCACATGTGTTTTATTATTTATATTCTGTGGCTAGCATGCTGTTAATTATCTTCCCATGAGAAAGAGATTCTTTGATGTGAAATGCATTGGACCTGCCTACCTTTGATTGTACACAGATTAAAGTATTTTGCAAATTTTATAGTCTCTACTTCAGTGCAGGAAGATGTAGACCAAGGGCATCATTTCAAAGAAAACAGCAATATTTGAATTTCAAAGCCACAGAATCCCTGTAGACCTTGGAGTGTGCCTCTGTGGGCCATTGATGGGATGACACTGTTTTTATTTTCAACAGAAAATACAAGAGAAAGATGCTCAGGGCTTTGGGGTTTTTTAATTTCTGTGCTGAAGATCACAAAAACTGAAGGGGAAAAAACTCACCCTGAGTGGAATACTGAGGCAAAGATATGTTCTTTGCATGTGTGCATGAGTGTACACCTTCAGAAAAAATCTTGACAGGCACTTTTATTCTGCAATATAATGTGGGCATTTTGTTTGTTTGTTTGTTTGTTTTAAATAAAAGAGTACCTTCTGCTAAACAAATCTGTTTTATCAAAAAAATTAACAATTTTTAAGCCAGTCACCAAGCAAGTGAATTTCAAAGGATTGGACCCAGTTCAGCGATGGGAAGAAATGCAGTCAGAGAATAGTCTGCTGAAGATATGGTGGAGGAGGAGGTTTTTGCTAGTTCCCCCTTACCCTTTGTGCTCTTGAAATCAGCTCCAGAGGCCAGGCCGTTTTCCAAAACGGTCTGGATGCAGTGCCAAGGCTGTGTTGGAATGGATCAGACAAAATTGCTGCAATTTTTCTGGTGGAACCTTCTCTCCATCAGTTTAAGGTCATGCCAATCATAAAAGCTCAGATTTACTAAGAAGCAGGGCTTAGAGACTTATTATAGTTCAGAGATAAAATTTAGACTTTTATGGAGAAAGTGTGAGGTACTTCTGGCATGTCTAGTTTAAAAATAATTGAGAAAGGTTTAGGAAGACTGGGTCCTTGCAAGCCAATCAGAACATTGTATCAGATCAGGGGATTAGACGGCAGAGCATTCTGTGTGTATTCATATAAGACTCTTGTTCCTCTAAAAAGTCCAAGATTAAACCACAATTTCAGATTTGGCTATAACAGGAAACTCTAGTTTAAAGCAATGATAATACAAGCACCAAGGTTGGCATGTGGTGCTAATAAACCGTAAATGCATTCTTTGGTATAATTATATTACATCCTGATCATACTTTATATAGTTTATTTTAAGGCACACTTGATATAATTTAATTAACACGTGGGAATATATTTATTTTTAAAAAACATTTTTATTCACTCTGCCTTGAAAGTTCACTTTTTCCACTTAGGCAATGTTAACAACTGCCTGTTCCACTTTACTCTTAATTTTGACTGTGTAAAGAGGATAGATAAGAAATTTCACTTCGCTCAGTGTTTGTTTGGAATACAAAATAGAACTGTTTTCCCATTTGTTTGATCCCTTTATATGGTAATTGTGCTTGTAGTTTGTTAAAGGTAATATAAGATGTTGAATTTTCAAAATTGACATGTTGTTTTATTTCTTAGAAAATTTCAGATCTCTCTTTAAATCCTTCCTCATTTGTTGTTAATCTAGTAAGCATATGTACGTTTTAAATATTTCCTGTATATTTTCAACAGTTGCTCCTGAAGATCCTAGCAGAAAAGTAGATGGTGATACAATTATTTTCACTGATGTCCAGGAAAGGTCCAGTGCTGTTTACCAGTGTAACGCCTCTAATGAATATGGTTATCTTTTGGCAAACGCATTTGTGAATGTTTTAGGTAAGCTCACAAAGTTTAAAAGTCCTAGGAAAACTGGTTACAATATTTTAGAATGATGTGTCACTTTCCATGTCACCTTTAATTCTTTAAGCTGCATCCTTACTCAGATGTAAGTCCTTCTAAATCAGAATCCCCCAGCCTTTGGGTGGCCATAGGCACTTTTGGGAATTTGAGAAACTGCTTTGGGCACCACCACAAACTGGCTCTCATGGAGGATGTAGCTAGTCACATAATGGCTGCAGTGAGAGCATGTCTAGTTAAAAATGAACAGAAGAAAGTCAAGAGACAACTAGTTGGACTATATGCTGGGAGGGATGAGCAAATAGCAAGGCAAAGAGCTACAGAAACAGCAAGTCTTAAGGCTAAGAGGAAAAGTGAGCTAAAGAAGTACATGGAATAGAGACAGTGAGGCTAGAAAGGGAGAAAAAAGAAGATGGCCCTAATATTTTCTAATATTTAACAATGTTTTTGAAGGGAGCAATGAGTCAGTTAGGGTTACGGAGTGGAGCATTTTGCCCTTGCAATTTATTGAGGGTGCCATGGCACTTGTGTTATCCATACCATCGACTCATTTCAATTTACATTTCTATCCCACCCCATAGCCCTTTGGGCTGTGGTGTACAAATTCAATTTCTAAATGCATAGTAAAGCAATATACTAAATCCAAAATGAATTATATATAATGCATTGAATCAAAAATGAAAATACAACAATATCAAATATCAACAGTATCAATAATGCAACAATATCAGGAATGATAAAATAACAATAATAAAGCCACAGTAACCCTAATAGAAACCCCTGATGTCTGAACCAATACTGAATCGGCAGCGCCCTGTGCTCCAACTGGCTATGAAGGCATGGCCAGTGCAGGTCCGGCCAGGTCTCCACCTCCATTCTGCAGCAACACCCCTTGCCTCCTCCCTGGCTCCAGTGCTCCCACCAAGCAAGCCTCAGGGGCCCTCAGGTGACAAGTGGTAGAGGCAGCAAAAGTCACATTGTTGCGCAGTGGGAGCAGTGTCAAAGGCAACAGAGAAAGCAACTAACCATGAGCCATTGGTTCAGGACAGATGGAGAGGACAGCAACTTATACTAGATCCTGTAGTGTGAAGACAAGAAGAGTAAGGGGGGAGGAGGTGTTTCTCTTTCTATTTGCATCACATTTCTCCTCCTATTGCAGCCCTTTGAATGCATGCGCTCCAAAATGTCTGGTCCCTGGAAGAACTGCTGAAATCTTGTAAATTCAATGCTGTGGCTTCCTTTATGGAATCAATCTATCTCATATTCGGTCTTCGGCTTTTTCTTCTATTTCTACTTTCCCTACGAAACACTATCCAAATTACACAGAAATGGTCATCATTTAATTTGCCTGTAACAATATTTAGTGGTTGTTAACGGTGAAACTGGAAAAATTAATGCCACGCCACAATATAGGAAGAGGCAGAAGAAATTAATTTAAAATTGCAATATATACTGTGATATATACTGTAAACATTACAGTTTAACATCACAGTGTATTTATTTATTCAAAATATTTGTGCACCACTTTTCTATGCAGATATGTCCAAAGGGTTAAATTCTGTCTTCAGTATTGCTTTTTTTATTTTAGCTGAGCCACCAAGAATCCTCACGCTACAGAATAAACTCTATCAAGTCATTGAGAACAAACCTGCACTGTTGGATTGTGCTTTTTTTGGTTCACCAGTGCCTGAAATTGAATGGTAAGATCTGTCAGTATAAAAATATTCATTCATTCATTCATTCATTCATTCATTCATTCATTCATTCACAGCAATAATTTAATCCAATGCATATTTTGGTAATTTAATTATTGAAGTAGAGTTCTATGCCCTTTTTCCTTTCCTGCTTGGGAAGTGTCCTGTTCTGCTTTTTCAGGAGGCAGCTTTGACACAGTCACCGAATTCCTCTTTTAAATAGTAATCTTTCTTCCTTCTGCTTCAGACAAAATTAGATAATACGATAACTGTGACGAGCTGACAGAGCAATTGAAACTGGACTGCTGCATGCAAGGGCAGGATTACTCTCCTCCGTCTGTATTCCCAGCAAACATACTCCACAAAGCAGGCTCAGACAATGGAATTTCTGTCAGGGCTCTGGCAGACAAGCATGGATCAAATCCTCTACCTGTTCTCATTGTGAACCTTAGTAGGGGCCCCCACACCTTCTATTGCTTAAATAATGTTGGGGTGAATCGGAAGGTGTTGTTCCACTGACAGAAGTAGTTTATTTATTTATTTAAACAATTTCTATGCCGCCCCATTCACAAAAAGCCTCGGGGCGGCTTACAACATAAATAAACAATTATATAATTATTATATTAGCCTAAAAAATCCGGAAACATTTCAGCATGTACATAAAAACCCAATAAATACTATCAGTAAATTAACAATTAAAATAACTTTTAAATAAAAAGGTCTTGGCCTGGCACCGAAAAACAAATAATGACGGCACCAGGCAGACCTCTCTGGGGAGTGCATTCCATAGGTTGGGCCCTCCTCCGGATACTCACCTTCCTAATATCTTTCATTGAGGGTTCCCGGAGGAGGGCCTCTGCTGCCGATCTCAGGGGGCGGGAGGGCATATATGGACGCAAGTGCTCCTTTAGATAACCAGCTCCCAAGCTGCTGAGGGCTTTATAGGTGATAACCAACACCTTGAATTGTTTCATCACCAGAACTGGGAGAAGCATGATTCCCCATCCCCCCCGCCACCCGCCCCACTGCAAGCCCTCCAACTCTGCTCCAGAGGAATGGAAAATACCTGTAGGAGACTTTTGGAAGGTGCCAAAGACTACAGGGATGAAGTTCTATTGTGCTAGCAGATTTCTGCTCATGTAATGTTCAGTGCAGTCATATATTTAACATTTTGACCAATCTGGTCCGTACAATTGCTCTGCTAAATATTATACTCTAACCCTATTCTTTACACTTTAGGGAATACTGCTGCAGCTGTGTTAATTTTAAGAGTAAATGTGTATTTAGTGGTCACTTGTTTCCAAATGTTGAAACTTGTTTAATATATTATTGTTTTTAACACTTAGGTTTAAAGGAGTAAAGGGTAGTGTTCTCCAGGGAAATGAGTATGTTTTCCATAAAAATGGCACCTTGGAAATTCCTGTGGCCCAGAAGGATAGCAGTGGCACGTACACCTGTGTAGCAAGAAATAAACTAGGGAAGGCACAAAATGAAGTTCAATTAGAAATCAAGGGTAAGAAATTGTGTCTCAGTTATAAACCTCTACTAATCACAGTTCATCAGTTACCAGCTGCTAAATATTTTAATAGCAATTTTATGTTTCAGATCCAACCATGATTATTAAGAAGCCTGAATATAAAGTTGTACAACGGACGGGGCAGGTTTCCTTTGAATGTACAATTAAACATGATGCTACCTTAATACCCACAGTAACATGGCTGAAGAACAATGGTGAATTACCAAATGATGAAAGGTATGTACAAAATTCCTCTTTCACACTGATTTTCCACAAGGTAATAAAACTGTTTTTATCAAGGCAATTGACAGAACTAATACAAATGTTCCTACATCTGTTTAATGGGACAGTATAATTTAATGTCTCGTGAGGATTATACAAGGTAATCTACAGAATGTATAACACATCTGTTTTCTGCCTATTAATCAAATTACTTAATAGGGTTCTTACCTTAATATTACTTAGACAGTTGAGGTCCAATTTTTTCATTTTATTATCTGTCTGTCTCTCTCTCTCTCTCTCTCTCTTCCTCTCTTATATAAAACACTTTAAGATTCAGTCATATAATACAGTAGATACACTTCAGACTTTTCAAAAATAATGCAATAGAAACTATCACCTATCAGCCTATAAAACACTATAGAAAAAACAGCTGGTTTAACATTAAGTGTATGAAATCATATTCACATTCAGATAAGAGATGAGATAAGTTGATTCATTAGTCCTTTAACTGTGGAACTTACAAGCCTAGTCATCACTCCTTTCAAAGATATCAGTACTGAATCTTCTAAATTAAAGCACGATGTTACATCCAGTAAAATCCTATAAAAATAAGTTCATTCATCTAGCACTGAAAGTTTCCCCCTTGAGTATTCTGTATAAAACTCCTTATTGGAATCTGCTTTTCTAAAAATTATGCATAATCTTAGAACTCAGTTAAGCTTGCAGTCTATATTATATATATACCTTATATTTATCTGAGAGTAAGCCATACTTAATGTGGTAGGACTTTTGAGTATGCTGTGCATACTGAGTTGTCTATCATTGAAGAAAAACCCATATCTGACATTGATTTGATTTCTCCAAGGAATAAACATTTAATAATTCTTTGTAGACTTAAGTACTCTTCTCCATTTAAAAAACATCCATCACATTTTCTAAGTATGCACCCTCTTTTTACATATGCAAGATAAACTTTCAAGTAGTTTATAAAGAGTAAACTGGAATCAACAGAAACAAGTTCCTTTGAAATCCACCTCAGTTGGATTTGCCAATCCACATTCCTCAGTATGTGAACACACATACACAGCATGTTTGTAGTACACATATTGAAGTGTTTAGAATTTCCATTTCTACTTGCTGTACCAATTAAGGTGAGATTAAAAAAAAATATATGTATCACTGCAGTTGGACAGGAGCTGTAATTCCTTTTTCACATGTTGAAATCTTTGAATATTTAAGGCAATAATTTAAATTATCTCCCTAAATTCTTAATAGTTCAGTAATACTTGATCTTTCTCTGAAACTATTCATTTTAGCAAGTGTTAGTTTGGAACAGCCATTTCAGTGTTTTTTCCCTAGGAAGGGAGCCTCTCTGTATTACTGTGTGGCTGAATACTACTAGGAATAGAACAGCCTTTTTTCTTGCTTTTAAAAGACATTGTAAAAGACATGTATCAAAAATATATTTAATTTTTCAAGCAGTGCCTTTCACTATAGGTGTATGGTATCCCACCACAGATGTATGTCATTCAAATACTTTCCTTATGATTGCAATCATTTAATCTTGCATTTTAATACCTATTTTTATTGTGCAGCACAAAAACAACCAAACCTCACAAATGAAGGAGGGGCAAAGAAAGGAACTAAAACATTGCAATGTTGCTATTTTAACATAATCACTTACATCATTGCAATGGTTCTTAATTAAGAAAAAGTGTATTTATAATAAAAGATTAAAGATTGCTTATATTCTGTCAGGTCTGCAATAAATTCAAATTTATCCTGTAGATTTATTCCTGTCTCTTTCACAAGTTCTAATAGGTCACATTCCTCTAATCTTGTTTTTCTTCCCTCTCTTTGTGATGTTATTCCTGAACTTCTGTCAAATCACAAAGTATCAGGCTGCTGAAAGCAAGCTTGAACAAGGTATAAAATTAATAAAGTGTATATTCAGACAGACCAGTTAGTTGGCAGAAAATTAGTTAAATTCCTGAATTGGTAAATTTCTTCAACAAAGAATTAGCAGAAAGATTGCCAACCATTCTATCCAGTGCAGGTAGAAATAAAGAGAACTTTGTTTTGCTTATCTTTGTTTTTGCATATTATTTTGTTTTGTTTGCTTACGTACCACTGACCAATAATTAAAAGGTTCCCAGGGGACTGATGGCTGTCCCACATTCCTTGCCAACAGCTAGAACTCAGTTGATCCGCTCCAATCTGGCAGGCCTTAAGCTTTGCATGAGTACAGAACTCATTAGCTTGCAATTAACTTGCAGTGTTTTTTGTGGAACTTGACTTGAACCACATGCAGATTTGCAGTCTAGAGTATTATTTACAATCTTAATAAGGACACAAACCTGTGGCTGATAGATGCTATCTGACTGGCCACAGGAAAAGGTATAGTCACTGCTACAAATTCAGAAAAGCCTTCAGGGGGTCTCCATTCTACCTTTTCAACACCAAGCAAGGCTCCAAAGATGGAACACTAAAGGGGCATTCTGAGGGGCACCACTGACTTCTGCTACATACAGGCAGTACCTCAGCCCCTCCTTTGCCTGAAGAATGGGGAAATATTTAGCTGGTCAAAATCAGCTATAAATACTTGTTGAAGGCAAGGGAGGGGGAGACAACCCTGCCACTTCACTCTTGTTATGCTCTACTGGATGCCCATAACCTTTCAAGTTTGGAAGGATATGGGCAGCCATCATGGGATGATGCCCAAAATAGACTGCATTTTCATTGCAGAAATTCTGTAGCATTCTTAGATTGCTTGTGTTTGAGAAAATCCAAGCAAGAGAAAAGAGGATATAAAATAGTCAAACAACCTTGTATCCACCCCAAAAGCTGATATAACTGCACTTTATGTCCATTTCTGGGTTTTTTATTAAATAAATAAAGGTTCCAGAAGATGTCAGTGAGTAGATATTATGGAATTAGTTGGTTCTAATGTAAAAGTGATGCCTTTTACAGCTGTAATAGCAGCTAAATTTCAAGGGTCCATTCCTAATTGAAATTAGTGTGGCCTTTGTCAATAAATTTTCATCAACAGAAAATTTATCCTGCTTCACCTTTTGGGAAAATGACTACATGTTTGTTCTTGCCCTTGGTACACTATGTTTGGTTGATGCAGGCAATTTTTCAGGGAGTTGATGTGTGGCCTAGACACAGTTTGTTTAATGTATGAAGTATATTGCTTCAGCATTAGCAATGAGACTAGTTCATCTCCAAATAATGCCCAGTGTTCATATAACAATTAAGATTTCACTCAGTTTTGTTACAATATATATTTAGAGTTATATGCAGCAATGGAATGATTAAATCTATTGTAATTACAGGTTTGTTGTTGGTAAATCCAACTTGACCATTATGAATGTCACTGATAAAGATGGTGGAGCATATACTTGCATAGCTAATACCACTCTGGACAGTGTATCTGCAAGTGCTGTGCTCACTGTTGTTGGTAAGATTTCTCTTAAAGTACATTTAGCCATGGCAAGTTGCCTCACTGTGGAAATGCTAAGGGGTTTTACGCTAATATCATAGAGTAACCCTTGCTTGCTCAGGAAAATTTAGAGGTTGAGATAAACTGAATTGGTTGACTTCTCCACGAATTTATAAACATACCTTCCAAAATAATTTTCAAGTTGCTTGGATTCTAAGCCACATATTTAGACACAAGAGCTAACTTTTTGAGGACTTTTAAGCAAGTCTGGTAGAGATGAATCTAGAGAAACATGAGCCATGTGGATGTTTATCCAGATTGATTTTCCTGTCCTCTGCTTGTCTCTGCAGCCATGTGTGTCTGCTGAAACACTGCTCCTGAGGGTCACAAATGGATAGGATGGGATGAAATAGGTTGGAATGCAAGGGAGAAATCCACCCAAAGTGGGCAGGAGCATCTTTTATGACCACAAGATTCACCTGCACGATGCACCTGTGCTCAGTTTCTGTTGTCTTATATTAGATTGCAGCCCTTTTCACTCTTATCTATGCTGTCTCTGAGAGTTACAGGGGCACAGTGGGGCTGCAGTAAGGAAGAAAGGAAGGAAAACCTCTCATATGATTCTTCATGCTCTGGATTATATGATCGAATCTGTATTATTTAGATAGGGTTTTCCAGTCCATTCCCTTTATTGTTCATAAAGGTAATAAATATACAGAGCTTGCAGGTGCTTCAAAAGCATTGATCCTATGCTTGAAGGAGAAGAGGCACCCAAGATTTAGGTCCTACCTGCTTGAAAATATTCAGTCAAAGCTGATGGCAACAGCCGCATGGACATGAGCCAGTACACATCACACACACACACAGAGAGCACTCTGTGTTGGATTTTCTGTGCAACCTCTCCATGGAAACTTTGCCAGGTTTTCTCAGCTGACATTGTCTGTGAGCCCATAATCCCAGCTAGGACTCCACCACCAGCACAGAAAAAATTGAACCATCTCTCTTTCTCCCAACATTGCAGATTAGCCTTGGAGATGAAAAAAGAGTGCATGCCAGGAGAACAGGGAGGGGATGATGCTGAATCCAGTGGCTTATGCCATTTCTAAATGGCAGCCAAGCTTTCTTCTATCCTCCTTCTTACCACTTCCTCTAAATAGCCAAAATGAAGGCAAGGGCAGGTGGCATTGGATTGCACCCTTAGTCCCTTTCAGGAATTAGATTCTAAACTCAAATACTATCTAATTGATTTTGCTGCAACCCATTATGTATTTCTCTTCAGGTTGACAGCCATTATTTTTAGATAAGCAGTTTGTGCAAGAGGCAAGATGTCGGTAAATGTATGTACTGTAGTGTTGGTGCAGCTGGCTGCTATATGGAATGGGACAACCTTGCTAGAAGTAGTCAGTTCAGACGTACAGATTCACATATTTATGGTGCAATCCCGTGCATGTTTAGTCAGAAGAAAGTTCTGCAACTCCCAACATTCCCTAGCCGTCCATGTTATTTTTTTCTGTCTAAACTTTTTTCTGTCTAAACATTCTTAAGATTGTGCTTTTAGTAACTTTGGTCTAGGAAACGTAAGCTCAACAGGGAAAGCCATATGATTTCCTGTTCTGGTTATGATTTCTTGGAAATAAATGTTAGAGAAATAAAGAATGAAATCTCAGTTTGCCATGTGTTGTGAGGAAAAAGCTCTTACAGCTCTACATAAACTTAAGCAAGACCTTTTCTTATTTACTGACTTTTTCATGAATAAGGTTAATTCATTACAAAGGGTTTTGTAACAGTTTATTATCTTTTTGTGCATGGTTATTTAGATCTCAAATAAACAGCTGTGGTTCATTTTGTATGCTATTCCTTTTAGTTTGATCCCAATCCAGTGCATGATTAGAAATGTATATTTCTTCATATAAAATTAACTTTGCTTTGGTAATATTCAATCATTGTAATAATAACCTAATTAAACAGCTCTTGTGCTTTCTGGCTACTAACACTGATTATATACTTTATATTAATATCCCTTTTCAGCTCCTCCAACAGCTCCACCTGTTGTTTACGGTAAACTAATAAAAAACTCATTTGCATCATGTACCAAATATTGCTAAACTTTCTGCCTTTTTCAGTTTAAAACCTCTTCTTTTTTTTCTTTCATTACATTTTTACACACTTGCTTTGAATCCGATGAGAATTGTGTTACCATTGTTCTTACGAGCTAAATGCTTAAACTGTTTCATTATTATGGTTAAACACAACATGTGGTTCAGGGTGAATATTTCTAATGAGCAAATGCTACATCTAAAATTGTGTAAAATATGACACCTGGTGATTATTTTAAATTTTTATATCTAGTTTAATACTGGTGATAGGTTCAATGTACATGCACTCAGCTAAATAGCATTCAGCATTCCTTTGGCTTATTCCTGAACTATTAAATACAAAATAGAAAAATGGATACAAACCCCTCCACACACACACAAGCGTGCACACAAAGAGTAAGTGCTGAGCATCACAGGGACTAGTCCTATGGTAGCTGAACAGTCTGAGCTCTGAGACAACTTCCCTCATGACACCACAGAACAAGCAGGGAAGCCATTCCTGCTGTGGCTCCAAGCTTGGAACTGGAGGTTTGTGAGCATTCCACAAGGCAGGAAGGGGAGGAGTGAAGCTCCCCCACGTGTCGGCAACTTTCTGGGGCAAGCCTTTGTAGGGCGGGAGAACCATGGAGGTGGCTGTTGCCTCCATGCTCCTTCCATCCTCTATAGGATACCCATAATATTAATGAGTTGAGAGGGTTCTGGCAACCACAATGGGTTGTGCTTCCCAATATTTTGATCACAGTAGGATTTACATGTACAAAGTTCCACTGAGTATATGGTTCTCACTGTCATCCTTGTTTGGGAATTCTCCATATCTCCATGTGTTTTGTCTCTGCATGCAATAGTCATTCCCTTTCTCGCGTAAAAGAAAATTATGCCCTTATATACAAAATCATATACATTTCACTAAACACACTAGTCACACTGGTTTGATTTCCCAGCAGAGGAACACGTATAAATACTTCTTCCTTCTGAAGATCAGATCTTAGTAATATGGATTGCAGGAAAATTAGGTTTTAGATCCCACCTTTTAGTTTCACTATTGCACATTAGTGGCACATAGATTTTTGTTGTTGTTTTTGTTTAAATTGACATATGTCCTCACAATTACCAAAGTAGGTACTTCTAAACAGAGTTAGTTTTTATAAGGTATGTACATATCAGCTCTTTCCAACTTGCCAAGAGCTAAGACCAAGATAGCTCAAGGATCACATTAAAATGTCTACATCTTTTGCAATTTAGCCTGAATATTAAGGCTGGATTGACAGTCTACAGTTAGGCCAAGAATTCAGTCAATAAACAGGCAGGCAGGCAGGCAGGCCGGCAAGCTTATTGAAAGGGACAGTCAGAAAGCTCAGTCTGTGCTGGAGCAATGAGCTGTTTCATCTGGGAACCCAGACCAGAAAGAGCGCCTTTTATGGGATCACACTGGGACCTTCTGCTGCTTGATTTCTAACTCAGCTGGTCGTTTTAATTACCTGTTTACCCCCAGTCATTTACTGTAGTGTCGCTAAGGAGCTTTCTACAGGGAGCATTTACTGAGCAGTATCATTTCTTAGTCACAGTGGGTTATGGGTTTTTTGGGTGATGTGATGATGCTCCAGTTTTGCTTCTGTGTCTAAAGAGCATTTTCAGCCAGTTTTTTTAGAACAGAGAAAATGGAATATTTAATTGTAGAACCAACAAAAATACTTTTTTTACCTGTGTACTTGCACTGATCCACTATATTAGAAAGCTACGCTGTTAGGTGGCAGAAAAACAGAGGAGGAATTCTTGTGATTATAAAAATGAAACAGAGCTAGATATAGCTGATTAACAGTCCTGCGTAGAAGAGTTCTGGTGCACACATAGGGCAACAACACTTCCTTGGCCAGGCTATCACGTTTGTGCATAAAGATGCCTTGTTCCCACTTGCAGAATTCATAGTTCAAGACTCATGTAATAGTAATAATGTTTCATAAATAATGCTAGATAAGGTTACGTAACAATAGAACACTTTCTCTGGAGAGCCTTTGCCATATGCCTATATATTGGTACGATGGGGAACTGTGAGCCCCAATGCTAGGAATAGGAGGGATATAATAATAATAATAATTATTATTATTATCATCATTATTAGCAGCAGCAGCAGCAACAGTAGTTCATTATAGGCACTTTTCCAAGACACACTTTACCTATATATCTTTAGTTATTTTCAGGTAGTCAGGATGCAGGTGAGGTACGTGTGAAGATGTATTAACAACTGCACAGCACTGGTTGTTTTTGCATGCTTGTATGAGTCTCATGAGCCCACCTTTTTTGAACCTGTGGGGACCTAACTTCCAGAGTGTTCAAGAATCAGCAGACTTATGTTTTATCAGCTCTGTCTAAGGTGAACTGAAAGATCTCCCAAGGTAGCTGAGAATGAAAGTTGAACCAAAACCATTCCTGTTGTGACAGCAGTGATCCTCTAGCATGTGAGCTCCTCACTTCTCTGGCTGGCATGTTTACTTCTCCCAAAATCCCAGGGTAATATTTGTTATCATTTATATGAAGGAAGAGTCAAAGTGTCTCTTTTAGAAGGTGGTCTAAAAGAGCACTTAAGAAGCATGGACTCGAGTTCAGTTTGTCCTTACATCATAAAAGCAAAAACTATGCCTTTTTTCAGGTTCTTTGCCATCCAGTTGTGGGATGTCAACTAAGGTGGGAAGAAACCTGTTTTCTAGAGAAAGAAGGTACATTTTCAAGAAAGAGCAAGAGTCATGCAAAGCCACAAACTACATCCAAGGAGTGGTCACACTACTATCTCCTTCAGGACAGGGTACCCTTTCAAGCCTTCACACGGAGATGCTTTTAATGCTCCCCAGAGCCACCCTGTCATTCCCTCCAGGCTAGCTTTTATTAGCCAGGAAGGGCATGTGGTCACTAGCTTGCTGCATACCTCTTGTACACTGCGTCAGGCAGAAATGGATCTCACAAAATTGGACAGGTGGTGACATTAGACTAGGGCCACATTTGTGGGTAAAAGCCCCTAGACTGAATGAATGAGCTCTGCTGGACCACTAGACAAGGATACAGTGAAGATAGCAAATCAAAGCATCTTTGTTGCACACACACAATAAGCACAGTTATGCAGCCTAGAGTGTGCTGGGTCACCTTCACTTAGAGACTTAATGCTATTTATGCTCTAGGCAACATCCAGTATACTGGGGAGCTGTTTCATTGCAGGCCAGTCTAGCATTAGAAGCACCGCAAGATAGGAGGACACATAGCAGTAAATTTGGAGAAATAATATGTTCTTCAGCTGCACTAGAAAGAGAACAAACTTGGTATCTAGTGGACCTCTCTGGGGAGGAAATTACCAAGACATGCATTGGTAAAGTCAGATTGTGTTAAAGCAGCTTACTGGGGCTTATATGTCATGTTTTTGCATCTTCAGATGGTTTTATTTTGGTAAATTCCATGCTTCCCTATCCTCTTACAAACACACTCACACATACAAACACAGGCATTTTGATGACAATTTGAGATGTGTGACACCTAGAACAATTTAAAATGTGTATGATATACCTGTCCAGAGTGGGTAATTACAGATTAATATTCCTATTTTTTGAACAAAGATGATATATTGATTTAGATTGCTTAGACAAGCTGAATTTAAATTAATAAAAATAACATAAACCTTACTATGAGAAAGCATGTCTTATCAGAATGCTCCTAATTACTGTAATTCTGAAACAGTTTCTTCTTTGTAAATATGTATGACTTTTTATTTTCTGTTTTGTGTAAGAGAAGGCTTTTCTCATATGCAGTAGTTCTCTAGTCATAATCATTAATCATAAACTAGAATTCCTGGTTAACCATGCTACTTCTCAATAATTGCCATTGCTCTTAATACAAAAGAAAATTGTCTTGTAACAATTCTGTCCTTCTTTTTACATTGCTTCTCAGAAAAACCACTTACTCATTTTCATTGCAGTTGCATGCTAATAACCACTAAATGGTTTTACATGGTGGAATATGGATCTTCCATAGAGAGTAACTGTTTATATCTTTGTGTTAATTTGGGTTGCAGATCGTCCCGATCCACCTTTTGACTTAGAACTGACAGATCATCTAGAAAGAAGTGTTCAGCTTGCATGGATACCAGGCAATGACAATAATAGTCCCACCACAAGTACGGTTTGATGAATTTACTGGAATATTCATTAAATAGATTCAATATTTCATATATTTCATATAAGGAATACATATATTTCTAAAGAAGCATGTCATTCACTTCTAATTATGGTATTCACAGTTCTGTTTTATCCCCTTCTGTGCTATAAATAAAGTACGTATTTCACTGAGGTCCCACAGCTAACAGAGTAATTCTGTGGGTTCTGTATAATGCAGCTTTCTCCAGCCTTGTGCCTTCCAGACACGTTTGGACTGCAATGCCCAGAATTCCCAGCCAATGGCCCTGCTGGATGGGAACTCTGGGAGTTGTGTCCAAATACTTCTGATGGCCACCAGGTTGGGCAAGGCTGATGTTGATGACCATAGGATTTTTCAAGCCCATAGAATTTTATTTATTTATTTATTTGGAGAACTTATATGCCGCCCCATTCGCATAAGCCTCGGGGCGGCTTCCAAACATAAATATAATCAATACAATTACATAAAATGTTGGGGACATCCTGGCAAAAAGTTTGTTAAAATCAATAAATAAAATTAACAATTAAAATAACATTTAAATAAAATAAAGGTCTTTATTTTTTAAATAAAAAAAAGAATCTTGATGACCATAGGATTTTTTGTATTCCTAATTCCAAGGCTGGAAAGTCTTGTAGCTGGGATCATTGCCTGAATTTCCCCTCATACCCCTATTGCAGTCTGCATGGAAAAAATCACTCTGGTTGCTTCTCAGAGGTCATAACAACAACTTTGGAAAAGAGTTTCTGGAGGTGTTTCAGGAGATGGGAAAAAATGGAGACATCCGCTGCCAAGAAACAATATATCCTAGTAGGAAACAATATATCCTACTCTGAAGCACCATGCTTAGATTCTGAAATCCAATTCTGGGTGAATCAGGTGTGAAGGCAGCCATCACTCCCATGCTCTACCTGCTTTACATAAGATGTTCATAATCCTTCAGGTTCAGAGGGTTATGGGTAGCCTCATCAGACTGAGCCCTGCATCATTCATAAAATACGTGCTAGAAAGTTTCTGCACTAAAGTGCAGTGCAAAATAGTATTATGTACTACTCATCCATCAGAATCAGCACCTTTCTCATGGCATATTGTATCTACTTCTAAATTCTATTTATCTGTTACTACTGCTGTCCAGAAATACTTACGTATGATTTCATCATGCCCCATTCTTCCTTTAAATCAATTTTAGAAACATAGAAACAGAGCGAGTCAGAAGGGACCTCCCGGGCCATTCGGTCTGACCCCCAGCTCCAGCCGGCTCTGCTCATGGCATGCCCGCCATGTGCATGCCCAGACTATCTTTGAACTCCCTCACCGATGGGGCCTCAACGAGCTCCCGTGGAAGCCCATTCCGCACCCTCAGGATCCTGACTGTCAGGAAGTGCATCCTGGCATCTAAATGGAACCTTGGTTCCCCTAATTTTGCTCCGTTGGAGCATGTCCTGCCTTCCTCTGGAGCGGAGAACAGGTCTCTACCCACCTCTGTGTGGATCCCCTCACATACCTGTATGTCGTCAACAGATCCCCTCAGATTTTCATGAAGGTGTGACAACATCTAGTCCTGGGCAGTTCTGTTTTCAAAGGACTCTTGATCACTTCTTATGCTTTCAAGCATATTAAATTTTTGCTTTATGTTGCTGTCTTGAGAGAGATTCAGTTGTCCTCAAGTTATTCAGTCTGAAACCATTTTATTTAGCTAGTTGTACTAATTTCTGATGTAAAATTCTGTCCCTTTATATACAGAATTCATCGTTGAATATGAAGATGCCATGCGTGAACCAGGGGTATGGAACTACCAGACAGAAGTACCTGGCTTCCTCACAACTGTGCAATTAAGGCTGTCACCCTATGTTAATTATTCATTCCGTGTAATAGCTGTCAACGAGATAGGACGGAGCCAGCCAAGTGAAGCCTCTGAACAATACTTTACAAAAGTTGCAAGTAAATAAATGCTATGGCTTACTGTTATAGGCTTAGTTTCTAGCTAGTATTCAATTACTCAGGAGGAAAAGCTTATTCAAATACAAATCTTTAATTTCTAGAACCAGATGACAATCCTAGCGGTGTTCAAGGGAATGGATCAGAACCAGATAATTTGGTGATCATGTGGGAGGTAAGGATCTTTAAAAAAAAGATCTTGAAGCACTTTTAAAAATATCCGTGTAAAATATGAAGTTCTGTATAAATCTGAAGCCAATTCACTTTTCTCAAGTGTGTGAGAAGATGTGCATATTGAGAAATGGAAAATGTTGTGAAAGACAAACTTAGGGAGTAATCCTATGGCCCTGCACTTTGTCCTCAGAGCTCGAACTCTGCCTACAATCCCCTTGCATCTGGCATAGAAGAACTGCACCAGCTGCTCTCTGAAGACAGGAAAGTGACCCTCGAAGAGAGGAAAGGGGAATTTCAGGGACAGGGAGGGTAGGAGACTGGGGGTGCCATAATATAGTGTATCCTGAAGCCACTGCAACATCCTTTCCTCCTGCTCTAAGATGTTCCAGCTTAAAAAAAGAAAAACCTATCTAGGAAAAATGCAGAGTGGGAGGGCAGGGAGATGAAGATTGCTTCCTTACAGGCATCCTGATAGGATTGTGCCTGCCATCCTATGTAAGACATCCTCTTGGAGCACCAGTCATCTCATCCTGTTCATGTTAGTGGCTAAGCAACCTTTCATCTGATGCCATTGATGTGGTATCTTGCATAGTTCAAATATTATTATGGGCTGCTAGCACTGTGTACTGTGATAAGTGGATTTTATGGTGATTTCAGAGTGGTAATCATTTAGTACTAAAGCCTTCTAAATATCTAATGTAATATGCATTTATTGACAGTATAAACAATCTGCAAGTTATCATGTTTTTGAACTCCTTTGTCACTTGGAAATCTAAATACAGTGACTAGGCCACCTCCACAGAAGTGCCTTTTTCTAAAGATAATGTATCAATGTAATATGGGAATAAAAGTACACAAATTCCTGTAAACATGCATCTAAGATCACAACTAAGAACCATTGCCCAAGTTTGCTTCCCCCCACCTCTTTCTCAATCCCTTTCCTTTTGTGTCATGTCTTTCAGATTTAGGGCAGACAGAGTCATATCTGTGTAAAGAAATAAGGTTCCTCAAGCAGGTTATGCTTGGACGCATCTAAATATGATAGAAATGTGATGAATAGCATTTCAAATTAAGGTTGCAATCCTATGTATGTTTAGACAGAAAGCATGGCTGGGGTATGCTGAGAGTGGATTGTCCTTTACTAAACTGGACATTTTAGTATTCTGCTTATATATCATCTTCTCTCTCGTATATTTTGGAAAATTAAGTGTGTAGTTATTATTCAATGCTTCCATTTGTTTTGCATTTTAGCCTTTAAGACATTTTCAGTCCAATGGTCCAGGGCTTCGGTACAAAGTCAGTTGGCGGCAGAAGGATGGTGATGATGAATGGACATCTGTTACAGTTGCAAATGTATCTAAATATATTGTGTCTGGTACTCCTCCATTTGCTCCATATGAGATAAAAGTACAGGCCATAAATGACTTAGGATCAGCACCTGAACCTATAACAACAATTGGATATTCTGGGGAAGACTGTAAGTTTCTTAAATTGACAATATTTGCCATAATTTTGCTGCAGGTTTTCTTCGTTTATCTTAACTTATCTGAAACATCTGTACAGTGGTGCCTTGTACTTTGAACTTAATTCATTTCAGGAGGCCATTTGAACTCTGAATTGTTCAAAGTCCAGTTCAGGTTTTCCCATCAGAAATAATGGAAAGTAAATTAATCTGTTCCTAAACAATACTCATTTCGATGAACAGCAAACATGGCCTCCTGAAACAAATTAAGTTCAAAGTAGTAATGTTACATTACTGAATGTTATGTTGAAAGCACACATTACTTCTGGTATGGCAATTTCTGTCAAATAGAAACATTACGGTTTGTCCTCATGCACCTTAGTCACTGGATCTGGCAACATGCAACTTCCAGCTCATCCCCAAAGTCAAAATGACTGACCATGAAAGGTAAATGTTTTGAATCAGTTCGGGACATTGAGGCAGCCACAACAGCATAACTAAAGACACTCATGAAAGGGGACTTCCAAAACTGTTTCAGAAAGTGGCAAGAATGACGGGATAAGTGTGTTCGAAGCAAGGAGAGTATTTTGAGGGGGATCGATAGCAATGTGTCTTTTACTGTTATTTTTTTTTAATTTAAACATTCACCTTATTTTTTGATCACACCTCGTATCTAACAAAAAATAAAGCGAAAAAGAGCACTGAAAATGCAAGAGATGAGTTGGGCACACAACAAATGATGTTTTTGCAGTGACTACATTTTTTTCATTTCACTTGCAGCTTGAACATAGAAGCATCATTCAAACTGCAGAGCAATTCTAACATTCTAACTCCAGATAATTCAAAGTTAGAGTCATTTGAACTATGAAGCACCGCTATAGTAATAATATTGTGGTGCAGTGTAGGGATTCACAGTCACATTTCTGAAAACTTGAAGTGCATAGAGGTGGCTCTAACCTAAGTTTTGTTGTTTTTGTTTCTCAATAGTGCCAATGGTTGCCCCCAGCAATTTGCAGGTGCAAGTTATAAACAGCACATTAGCAAAAGTGCAGTGGGATCCAGTTCCACTGAAGTATATCCGAGGTCATCTTCAGGGATACAAAGTAAGTTAGCCATAAAAACTTAATCAGCATTTTTGTGTTGGGCTTGGAACTTCTGACTATAAGTTTTGAAATTTTCATGTGCAATCCTATTTATTAGCTATGTTTGGACAGGAAAAAATCTACAATTCCCAGTGTTCCATAGTCAGACATGTCCTTTTCTGATGATTTTTCTGCCTAAATACGCACAGCACTGCAGCTTTTAAGGTTTTTCTTTTTCAGCAGCAACTATGTTTTCAGCATGCTGTGGCAAAATAGCTTTTCTGTCTGTTTCCAGATGATTAAAATAAATGTTGAGCTTTGCGTGTTTCACTTGCTAGATGGTCAGCCATTAGTTAATTTCTGTCAAAAACAATTTTTTGCCTGACTGCTGATATTCTTTACCCTGAAGTGTTTCCTGAAAAGTGCACAGTTTAAAACATTCAGAAAATTAATATAGCATGACTCAACCTGGGATTAGTCTCATTTTATTACTCTTATATTTTTTTCCCGTTAGCCACACAGGTATCTATTCTACTTCTAATAATAATGATTCTGTGTTCTACATAGCAGTGTACTAGATGAAACCCACCAGTATCATATATTAAATAACTTCAGTATTATTCCGTTGCATCACAAGTTGTTTACATTATACATAAAAAGCAATACAATTAAGCCAAAATAGATGCAACTTATTATAATGGAATAAAAGTGAATTTCTAGGTTTGAATCTGTTGTCATTAAAAATCAATGCTAGCTTATACATTATCTGAAGAACACTTATTTTTAATGGTCTGATCTGTCCCCAATGATATTTAACTTAAGTTGGACTCTGGAACTTGCTTCTGAACAAGCACAGATAGAATTAGACTGAATATGGCTTAGAAATAAGATTGGATTACATTCTTTTAATCCTGATTAAATTTATATGTCTCAGTACTAATAAGACTACTGGGTTGGATCTATTCTTACTCCTTATAGGAGTAAAGCTGTTGAAGTCATTGAAATTTCAGTCAAGACTAACTTAAGTCCCATTGATTTCAGTGTGTATACTTTGTCTAATTCGGAATCCATTCTGTTAAGTGTCCAGTCTGTCCCAAAAATATATCTAAGCATACAAAAATATTATAACACAAACCCAGAAATTAGATAAGTATTTAAATAATATATTTATTTTTTAGATTTACTACTGGAAAGTGAAAAGTTTAGCTGGAAGAATTAAGCGGCATGCAGAAAAAAAGAGTTTGGTTTTCAGTGGAAACAAGACCCATGGAATGGTGCCAGGATTGGAGCCCTATAGCTCTTACAAACTGAATGTCAGAGTGTTTAATGGGAAAGGAGAAGGACCACCAACACCTGATGAAACGTTTAAAACTCCTGAAGGAGGTATGCACTTAGAAAACCGTACAAATTAGCTGTTTAAATTAAGCATTGTTATTATGCATTACCTGAACATTTTCATCTGTCTTACAGATATACATTGTTAAAGAAGAAGTAATAATTTTAATTGAAAGCTTAAGTCTATTTATTTGAACTAGGGTTTGAGTAAACTCAAAAATGTAGGTCATAACAATTGGTATTGCATTAAGTAAAGAGCCAAAATACACATAAATAACAGTGTCATTCTGCTGGAGCAGAACCTGCTAGGCAAAGAAGAGAATCCAACTAAGGTCATAGGTTATTATGCAACCAATTATGGATTACATTTGCACAAACACTTGCACATTTTACTTGTTGCAATCACTTGTGCAACAGGAAGATTTGATGGAGCTCTGCTAGCACTATTTGAGTTTGTGAAGTTATACCCTTGGACATTACCCAAGGATCATACACACTTTTATAGCATTTTGTATAATATTTATGCTTTACTTTATCTCAGTGTGTAACTTGTTTTAACAAATGTTCTTCTTACAAACCACCCAAGGAGCTTTGGCTGTGGGCTGGTATCAATATTAAATAAATAATAATTATTATTATTTTCCTTAAAAGTTCCCAGTGCACCCTCCTTTTTGAAGATTACTAATCCAAGTCTGGACTCTCTCACTTTGGAATGGGGTCCCCCTTCTCATCCAAATGGTGTTCTGGTAGGATATACATTGAAGTTTCAACCAAGTAAGTAAAGATTTGGTGGGAGGGAGACTTCAATAAATGCTTACAAAATATGTAATTGGATCTTGTTATGTTGTTTCGAAAATATTTACATTGGGGGAAATAAATTCTAGGTTGGTAGTGGTCATAGTGAAGTCAAATATCCTCTCCTTTGGAAACTCCATTGTGTTCTATTGCAATATTTTTGCTGTCCTGCACATATGGGAAACAGTTTGCACTGCAGCTGCTTGGAAATACTCGATGCCTCTGAAAGTACTTTCTGAACTTGGGTGCAACTAAGCATCCAACCACACTCTTTATGCGGCTGTCATAATTTTCTTAACCTGAAAATTATGCACACTCCATGTTTTCCAATGCCACCAAGAGGGATATCTTTCATGTAATGGCTTTGGTGTCTCCAATATTCTGTTTTGAACTTGGCCAGGTATAGAACGCAGAGGCAAAGCTGGAGGAGGATCAGCCTGTGATTCCCACCTTCCTGCATGATAAGATGCAGCCCGATTCTTACATGCCACCATCACCCAACCCAGAATGGATTTCCATAATAAGTATTGAGTATTCCATCATCTGCTTTGCACTACATAACTTTATTTCACGTATTACACCAGAGAAATACCAATATGGGTATTGCAAAAAATTAAGCCATTTTAGGTGCTCATGGTTTCATAAATCCTACCTTTTTAGCATGCAACATTTTTTTGTCTAAACCTTAGACAAAAAATAAATTATGCATGATGGTGATCAATGTGACACATATATGACTCGATGGAACACATGTATCTTAGAATTCAGGACCTCGTTTAACTCTTTTTTTTAAATCCAACATTTATGCAACATGATGTTTCCAAGCAGGTATTGACTACATTGTTTTTGTCAATTTACAATTTACAGTTAATAATACACATGAATTAGGCCGCTTGCAAGAGATTGATATTCCAGCCAATGAGACCAGCTGGATATTAAGAAGCTTAAATTACAGTACTCGATACAAGTTTTATTTCTATGCACATACATCAATTGGCTCTGGAAGCCAAATAACAGAGGAGGCAGTAACAATTATGGACGAAGGTAAGATGGGTATGTATAAAGATGGGCTACTTAAATTTGAATAGTTATGCAATTTTTATTTATTTAAAACTTTTGTATGTTCACCACCACCAAATGGTCTTGGGACAGTATTTTTCTAAAAATAAGTAAACATTATTATGTTTAATTGAGGAATACTGTTTTAAGAAGTTGGTAGCGCTCTTAAAAATAGCAGTATATCCTTATATTTATGCCTAGAAAAGTTATGCATATCTGTTTAACAGGAGAGAACTGCCCTATGAATAGACTTGGTTATATTTGTTTTACAAATGAAAGCCAACTTTTGTAATAGTCACCTTGGTTTCCAAGTAGAAATTTGATTGCAGTGACGTGAAACACACTTAGAAATCATCCTATATTCACTTGGCAGCTGGAGGCCATGCATTTCTATATGATAGGACAGCAGTTTCCAAACTTCCCATTTCCAGTTCATGTGGGCATATCTGGGCTGCCCTAGTTTTGAATACTAGGTGCTTGCTTTCAGCATCTATGCATCATGCAGGCCAGAAGTGCTAGTGTGTGCTTCAGCCAAAGCTTTTCCCTCACAAGTCTGCAGAAAAGGGCTGAACATTGGACCATTGTAACGTGAGCACAGATGTGCCTTATGGGAAGAGTTTTTTGCCTGTCCTGAAACCCTTGTTAGTATGCGCAGCAGTGTGCAGCCAGGATCACAGAAAGCTGCCATCCGGACCAGCCCTTTGCTTTTCACATTTCATCATTTAGTCTGATCTGGGCAGGAACATTCTGCACCACAGGATCACTGCCAGCAGTAAGGAAGGATGTAGTACAGAAAGCCATGCAAATCCAGCTGCAGGCTCAAGATTACTAAATCACTGACACTGTCATTGCCTTAAATCTAGCAATATCGCAGAATGTGGATGAAAGCTAGAACAGGACGTGGCATAGTACTTAAGGTACTGAACAGTGGCAGATTGCCACACGTAGAAAACAACTTTCCATAAAAAAGAGCTTCCCCGATAAAGCATTTCTGTAGAAACTACTGTTATGGTAGACTAGAGAGAGCTGGATTTTATCCTAAAACTGGCAAAAAATACAAAATAGCGTTGGTCCATTAGAAGCGACTAAAAGTTTATTATTAGGACCAACCAACCCAAGATTCTCTCAGTGCTGAAGTTTTTACCTACTGTGAAATGCAGTGCAGTCCTGTAGATATCTACTCAGAAGTAAGCCCCATAGAACTCAATGGGACATACTCCTGGGTAAATGTATAGTAAGATTGCGGCCTGAGAGAAAGGGTCTGCCCTTCAATTGTACATTAATACATTGTAAGATTGAATGGTTAAGAAGGGCATTTTAATTGTCTATTTTGAAAACCATTATTATTAACATAAGGCTGTGCTTTTAAAATCACTCTTCAGTGTAAATGCTTAATTTTTTATTTAACTGCATGCTTTTCTGCTTTAATAAAAACATGTAGATTAATAACATGTATTCATATATCTGTGTGTTCCTTTTGTTGTATCTAATTACACAGAGTCCTTCTTTTATTTTCCTACATTAATGCTGGTATTCTCCCACTTGATGTATGTGCAGGTAAAGGTAAAATAAAACTAAGCATCAATTGTGTGGACTTCTTCTTTAGACTTCTAAACTGAAAAAATAAATGCAGCTGGTAAAAGCTGGAACAACAGGGTTCCTTAAATAAGACCTTGAACTGTCAAGGAAATGTTTATTGGCCACCTGTCCTTGTCCTTAATATGGTACTTGCCTTATTGATGCAAAAAGCAGAAGCATAGATGCCGTCTTTCATCTTTATGCATTCCCTGATGACTGTTGAGGCAACAAGGTTGTACTATGGAAATAGCTTCTTCCGTTACGGCTCAGCCTGTTCTTTTATAGCAGTAGTGACAGCAGGAAAGCAGGAAGCCTTTTGCATGTGGCTTCCCCTTCAGAGTCCCTGCCCATGGTGCTACTGTCTCCACCAGGAGTGAAGGGAGAGTGCTAGGCTCATCTCCCTACTTTCATTCCCCTGTCCATTGGCTACGCTGCACTTTCTGCAGTATGAGTACCCCCTAATGGCAAAGAGGGTTCAATGTGTTGCTAATGTAGTTTAAGGAAAGATGGAATTCAGCTAACTGGTGTAGGTCGAAGACTGACTTGGTTCCCCACAGCTGTTGTTTTATTTGGGTGCACGGGTAGGGTGGCTTTCTTTCGCGAAGCTTGCTTCTGAAGTTGTTTGCTTCAGAGATTATAGATGCTCTGAGAGTAAGCTGAGATGGTTGTTGTTATTAGTATAAGAAACAAAAATATTTAAAAGGTAAAAAGATAAGCTGCACAATTAATCAATAGTAGAGAATTATGGAGCACTGGAGAACAGTGTGTCAGTGAAGCATTGTGGCTTCAGATTATTCCTTCCAGAATTTAAAATCACAGTTTCAGACAGGATCTGAGTTGGTCATTAACTAAATTTCCATTTTTTTAAAAGATGGTAAGTTGTGTTGTTCATATAGTTCAATAAAATATTATAAATAAGCTGCATCATAGCAATTTCTTGCCATTGATTTTCTTTACTGGTTTTCTTTTTTTTTTTCCTCTCTCTTGATAGTATTGTTCACACTACATTCACAACAGTACAAATAACAGTCTTTAACAAAAAGGCATGTGATGCAAAAATGTATGATCCAAATCATTTCATTTCCCCGAAGCGTACAAATGCAGTTTTTGAATTCTAGTTATAAACCTCTAGAGAACTTTATTCAGTGCTTTGTGAATGACATGCTGGAGTTATTATCTTTTTTATCTGAATTCCCAGGGCTGCTTCTGTTAGCTTGTTTGTCTTACATTCTGCTGCTATTTCTGGTTTCAACAGTATACAGATCAACCTGTACAGAACCCTGGGAGCATACTGCTATTTGTTGATACCACCAAAAAATTCAGTCCCTTGTTTCCAGTAATGTTTAGAAGTGTTCATATTGTGCCTGTTTATCAGAATGATTGGTTGTTTCACTGAGAATCATTGAATCATAGAATAGCAAAGTTGGAAGGGGCCATGAAGGCCATCAGGTCCAACCTCCTGTTGTTGCAGGACACCAAGTTCCACCATACCATTCAGATGACTGTCCAGTTTCTTTTTGAATGTCTTTAGTGTGGGAGAGCCCACCACCTCTCTAGGCAGCTTATTCCTCTGTCCACTTGGATTAGCCCTAAACTCTAGCTATGTCCTTAAAAATTAAACAAGGGCAGGAATGTTAGTATTATTACTTTTAGAATTCCATATTTTCCTTGTTGCTAGCCCATAGGTATTTCTTTTCCCCCTAAAATGATTATTATATATTTTGACCACAAATAGATTCTTTTAAAATGACTTCAGCCCCTTATAGATATTTCTCTAAATATCCTGCCTATTTTATTGGATTATTTGGACAGAAAATTTCCCAAACCTAAATGTCCCTTAGATTTTTGTGAGCCTAGAACCTCAGTGGATTTGCCAGCTTTATAATCTGCAGTATCAAATCCATCTCTGAATGCTTCCCTGCACAGTGGAGCACATTCTAAGAAAGGGTAGTAGCAATATATTGTATCATGCAAATTATTATTTTGGTGTTCAAACGTCCTTGAGTAGTTGATCAGAACTGAGTCTGTTCCTTGAAGAAATTACTGTAATATTCAGTTGCTGTTTTACCGCGATTGCTTAATTGTGTACATCTGTTGTATTATAAAAAGGGATCTGTTTGCAAGTATACGGCAAATTTCTCTTTTTGGAATGGCTAGAACTTAGTTTCAAAGTTCTTACATATCTTTTGCTTTATAGATGAACATTAGAAATTCCTTTTTCTGCTACTGCTGCTTTTTCTCCTTTTCGTCCTCCTCTTCTTCTTCCTTAATTAACTAGCAGTACATGAAGCTGAAGCATAAGAAGGAATCTGGCTAGACTGTTGAGAATGGAGACATCAACTTACGCTAAAGCTAGTCTTGACTGAGGTTAGGGTCACACATAATGGCAACCCATCATGGTAAATGACCATTCTTTTGTGTTTCTGCTCCAGCCAGCCTAATATTTCCTAAAAAAGAGGTATTTACACAGATAAAGTGATTGTTCACTGCAGATTCCTTGCTGTTGCTTTTGATGTCTAAGGGAACCTAAGATGCCATGGTATTTCCTGCAAAAAAAAAAAAAAAAATCCAGCTCTCTGCCCTGTCATTCAGGTCCAGTTCCAGCACAGAGAAACTTCCTGCTGCACACAAAGATCTCTCTTCCCCTTTCTCCTTGTCTAGTGCAGGAAAGGAAGAATAGTTATCTCTGCTCTTTAACTTCTTGGACAATGCTATTTCCCATTGAAGTGCCTTATCAACATCCTTGTCAGAACTTAAGAAATACTGTCTCACCATCAGTGTTAGCTCTAGTGAGTGGCCCAATGTTAATCAACATTTTGATGAATAACTTGGCCGAGAGCAGAGGGAATTGCTCATCAAATTTGCAGAGGATAGCAAATATAAGAAGGCAGAAAGGATCTTGACAGGATGAAAAACTGTCACAACTAACAGAAACTTCACCAAAATTAAATATAAAATATTGCACTTAGGAAAAACCAGATGTACACATGCAGGATAGGTCACACTTGACAGCATGTATACGAAAGAGAATTTCAGGGTTTTATTAGTATATAAGCTGTAGTAGCAGTGTGATGCAGTAGCTAAAAACACTGATGTGTTCTAGGTGGATTCATCATACTATCCAGATTATGAGGTAACAGATGCATTTTATTCTGCTTTAGAAACAGAAACATAGAATCTAAGCAAGTCAGAAGGGCTCTCGCAGGCCATCTGGTCTGACACCCCAACTCTAGCCGCCTCCACTTATGTAATCCCCAGCATGTGGTTGTCCAATCTTTCCTTGAACACCTTCACTGATCACCTTCCTAGGAAGTGTATTCCATATCCTAGGGCTCATAACCATCAGGAAGTGCATCCTGATATCCAACCTGAAGCCTGATTCCTTAAGCTTTGCTCCATTGGAATGC